CACCCATGCCATCGCATTTGGTGGAGAGTTGTCTCAGAGTTCTAGCAGGAAGAACAAGAGCCTAGCGCTAAAAGCTGTCGCGGTAAGTTCTATCTCCTCTCCATTTGCTTTCGTCGTCTCAACGTTTCATGCTCGCAAAGGGTGCAACATCCGCTCCAGTTACTGCAAAGTCTGGGTGAGCTTCTTTCTTCCACAGTTCTAAAATCTTTTCTTGCAAAGCTTGATCATATCTTTTGTTTCCCAGGCACGAGATCTTGCTCTTCGATGCTCTCCGCGAAGGTCTCGAGGAGGAGATGGCGAGAGATCCCACAGTGTGCGTCATGGGAGAGGACGTTGGCCACTACGGCGGCTCCTACAAAGTCACCAAGGGGCTGGCCGAGAAGTTTGGCGACTTGCGTGTGCTGGACACGCCGATTTGCGAGAACTCGTTCACGGGAATGGGGATCGGCGCTGCCATGACGGGACTCCGGACAGTGGTAGAAGGCATGAACATGGGATTCTTGCTGCTGGCCTACAACCAGATCTCCAACAACGCTGGAATGCTCCACTATACGTCGGGTGGTCAGTTTAAGATCCCGGTGGTGATCCGCGGCCCCGGTGGGGTTGGAAAGCAGCTTGGAGCCGAGCACTCGCAGCGTTTGGAGTCGTACTTCCAGTCAGTCCCGGGCTTGCAAATGGTGGCGTGCTCCACTCCATACAACGCGAAGGGACTGATGAAGGCCGCGATCCGGAGTGACAACCCGGTGATCCTCTACGAGCACGTCCTTCTCTACAATCTCAAGGAGAGGATCCCCGACGAGGAGTACGTGCTTTGCCTCGAGGAGGCCGAGCTTGTTCGTCCGGGAAAGGATATCACCATCCTGACTTACTCGAGGATGCGGCACTTCGTGCTCCAGGCTGCCAAGACGCTGGTGGAGCGAGGGTATGATCCGGAGATCATCGACATCAGGTCGCTCAAGCCTTTTGATCTTTTCACGATTGGGAACTCGATCAAGAAGACGCACAAGGTTCTCATCGTGGAGGAGTGCATGAGAACTGGCGGGATTGGAGCCAGCTTGAGAGCTGCGATTGTTGACAACTTCTGGGACTTCCTCGATGGCCGGCCCGAGTGTTTGTCGTCACAGGACGTCCCGACACCTTACGCTGCAACGCTGGAGGACGCGACGGTGGTACAACCGGCGCAGATAATTGTGAAAGTGGAGCAAATGTTGCAAGGTCTCATCTAAAACTCCGGATGGGACAATCACGACAAAGACAAACGCTCTTAAATTCCCCCATAAGAGTAGGCGAGAGTGGAAGTTCTTCGAATCCATTCTTACAATAAGGAAGAACATTGCCAGTTTTTCGAGTTCATACCTGGAAAAAAAATTCTTTTTGAGTGGCTTCGAAAGGATGGCATGGAAACCATTGAAGAACACAAGCCTTATTAAATATCCAGCTGTTTTTTAAGCTCATAGCCATTGAAAAAAACCTCTTTTCTGGAACCATCCTCTCGCCGGACAAGCCAGGCATGACTGGGTCTACTTATATGGTGCCGCCTCTTCCTCTACATTTGCCACAAGGAACGATCTTCCCAAGTGGCTTACACTACTACCAAAACCCCCCTCTTGCTTGTATTTAGAACTCGTGGAACCAAAGCATATCTGAGAACAGCACTGGAGAATGTGATGATGGCTTACTGGATGGCATTCTTTGTCTGCGATCTGTGAATGTTGTCTGAGGCTTACTAGATGGCATTCTTTGTCTGCAATCTGTAAATGTTGTTTGGAGAATGTGATGAGGGTTTACTAGATGGCATTCTTTGTCTGCGATCTGTAAATGTTGTATTAGGATGTGGAGTCTGAAGTTTCTATTGAAATCACTTAATTCAAAAACTGAAGATAAGTGAATTTGCCACTTCGTTCATTGTGCATTAATAAGTATATTCTTTATTTAGTAAGGCACAAAAGAATCCACTAGTACAGGTAAATGATTAATTACTTCATATGAAATAATTAATTTATATAATATTGTAAGTGACCAAGTTTTTCATTCTAATTTAGTCATTTAACTACATTTTTAACCACTTGAAAGAGTTTTTTTCATGTCTTCATCCTAATTTTAAGTATTTGCTAAGACCTCTAAAGTGACTTTCAAGCCATATTACCTTTGTAGTTGGTCCAAATGCTCCACATTTCTGAGTCCCAAAAGTATTACTAATAAACTAATATGTGACATTAAAGCTGCACTAGTTTAATTAGTAGTTTAAAATTGCATTGCATCTTCTTAATTTCTTCTTCTTCCCCCTCCTTTTCATCAAACAATTTTAGAAGGTTTCATTTATATTCTCTCCCTCTTTGAATTACACTCTCTATTCATTGTTATAACCATACCACGGTTCTATCTTTCCAAAACGAAATTATCAATCTATGAGTGGTCATCCTTTGATTATTCTTTATTATTCTTAGAATGCCTTAAAATATGGGGTATTTTCTCAATTCCATCAAATCCTTCTCTTTGTCTATAACAATATTTGCCAATATTGCCAGGTTCAAAAGCCCATCCACCAACCTTTGAGATTTTTCATCATGTAACCATATTTTTGGTTACTAAATAAAAAGACCATTCTTCTTCCTTTTCACAATTAATAACTTTAATATAACATTTCAAAGCACCATAGAATAATATAAGTTTTATAAGTACTCCCCATCACTTAGAGTGCCCCAACTATAAGGCTAAAACAAGATTTTAGTAAGTCATGCAAAATATTCAAATAGGTAATACCACCTGCACTTAAATATTTTAGAAGAGTTAGAGTTAGTTTTTGAACATTTCACTAAATCACCTAATTTGTCCATCTATATACACTTTTGGCATCCTTAGTGTTTATATCATTATTCATATAAGTGTTTCATGCTTATTTTTCAAGCATTTTTTTAGAGTTTTATTCTTGCTTTCAATTTTTTGAGTCAAAATTTTTGGTTTAAACATGTTACACTCATTGGACTTTCACTTTGGCCACTACCACATAACTCACCTTTAGGATTTAGCATACAAATAATAGATTTAATATCAAAATGGAGGTGTAATTTCCCCTTAGATCAATAATGGTTGTTAAACATTGGGGAGTAAAGCATATATAATTATGAAATAAGATTTAGATATACTATTATTGTAAAATTCTTGGAACTTGATTATTCCAAATTTCTTTATAATAGTCCTCAATAGAATTTATAATATCCTGATTCCTTAATGCACATCCAATGGCCTTCCACAATACTTGCACTCCCTAATAGTTGCTGCCTTATTTCCATATATTACACATGAAGGATTTATTTCCTTTTTCTTTGGAACTTGGGGGATAAATGGGGATAAAATAGCTATTAAATGCTTTTTCATTAAGCAATTGTAATTACCTTCAAGAGAGAAAAATGTTGATTTAAAATATAATATACCTTTGAGTAAGGTACATTTCTTCAATTAAAATTAAAATTGTACATATTAGGCATCAAGGAGTATGTTTTTCATCTAGTAAGTTATTCATAAATGAAAGGATCTATCATGGGATTGCAGTATAGTTGAATGATTAATTACTTCATATGGAATAATTAATTTATAAAATGGAAGAATTAATAGATTTATTGCAGAAATAAAAGTGCTAATTCCCCTTAGATCAATAGGGGTTGTTAACATCTTTAAAGGGGTGAGTGTTATACTATCACTATAGATCCTTAGAATTATAAGGGATAAATGGAGATAAAATAGCCATTAATGTCTCTTTTATTAAGTAATTGCCCATTTTTAATAAATGCTAAATTGCATTATTAACTTATAAAACCCCTAACAAATACAATGCAATTGCTAAAAAACAATATTATGATTATCTTCATAATTAAATACAAACTTTAAATATTTCCCTAATTTAAGAAACCTTATCTAGCTATTGCAATGCCATACTTTTAAGATAAATGGGAAACTTATATAAATGTTGAGTATCATCTCAAAAACGACAAATTACAATCATTATAAACTAATCAAAACCAAATGTCAAAAAATCACTATCTAGATAAGGGATGAAATGTTTTTTAATGAAATACTAAAATAATAAAGAAGAAAAAATGGATTTGTGTTGAATACTCTTAAGTACAAAGCTTCTAAAACCCTAATTTTATAAGGGCTCTAAAAACTAATATAGTAGCTAATCCAAAAATTTAATTTGGTGCTAATCCCAAATGCCTATTTATATGTATAGCAAATTTTGAGTTCAAATCCCATAAGCAAAGGTTTATTATTTAGTGAATATACTCCTCAATAAATATAAAGAAATGACAAATACATGACACCAATGGTATTTTCAAGATTCCCATAGCCAAAAAGAAGGAAATAGGAGGAAAAGCAAGAATGAGTTGTGAACTCCACAACTAAGTTTAATTATACAACAAAGTGTAGAATTTAAGCTTAGACCCAAGATGAATGTAGAATAAGCACATGCACACAAGTGGGAGTTAGATTATACTTAGCTATAAAAACAAGATAGATCTAGACAATCCCTCACACCATTATTTTATATCAGACCTTTGAGTAAAAAAGGCAATTATTTAATGAGGAAAGCCTTAATGATATATACATATTTATTCCAAGGATATATAGATTTATTATCCCATACTGGGTAAAATCATCAGCCAAAAAGACAACTTCTAAATTAAAATAATTATGCAAAATTAATGCACAAACATGATGAGTACATATTCCACCAACTAACAGGTTATAGAAGACCCTAAATCAAACTCTAGAGCATGCAATATTAATTTAAACACATGTACTACCTTAGATTGCCAAAGAAAACAAAAAAGAGCATTCCACTATGCTTGAATTCTTGTTTTGAAAATTTTATTGATGTGCTCTTTTTTAAGATGCATGTTATATTTTACGCATATTTTTAATTCCATCATTGTAAATTTATTTTTTTTCACCACATCAAATTCTCTTACAATTAATACGTGGGTTTTTAGGTCAAGAAGAAAGAAAATCGTTTGAGGATTTTTCTATGGCAAGTAGCAGCGCTCTATCGGCAGCAGCGACGCTCACAAAATCCGCCAATTCCTTCGCCTCCAGCAGCAGCTCCAGCTCCGCCTCCGCCCCCTCCAGGAAATCCGGGAGCTTCAAATGCGGTACGCGATTCTTCGCCTCCATTCCCTTCACCGAAATATTGACAGATTTTGGGTCGCAGGGATGAGAATCCGGGCCGAGAGCGACGGCAGCAAAGGATCTACGACAAAATCTCCCCCACCGGTGGAATTGGAGCGCTCCCCGGCCGATAAGCTCGTGGATGGAATGTCGTTCGGCCAGCTGTGCGATGAATTTCAGTGCATAAGCAGCCCCTCCGTGGAAGCTACGTGCCGTCAGCTCGCGAGAGATATCCTGGAAATTCGAGATGGGAATAGAGCTCTGGGAACCCTGGCCTACTTTGTCAAATACAAGGTAAGCTCTTCCTTCTTTCGCTTTACACGACTAGTTAGATCTCTTCTCTCTTTTCTAGGATCCATTGAGGTCTTTCCAAGGACGATTGAAGTACAATAGGCCGTCGTGGACGAGAACTGCCTTGGAGAATCCAACAGTGGTACGTACGTGATTGGTTTCTTTGCTTGCGAGCTTTTCATATTCATGCAGTGGTACTTTGGCGGTGGTTCCATTTGCCTCCTCAGGCAGTGCGTCAAATGGAGATGGTGTCGACGAGCGTGCTACGAATCCAGTGCACGATACAAGGAAGGCCAAAACTTGCTGCTGCTTCCTTCGTTGGCGATGTTCGTGTCAACGTAACGTCGACTTTCACTCTCAACCAGATCAGTGGCCAGGTTCTGGAGCACCGAGAGGAGTGGGACCTCTCCGGCAACTCTCCTCTGGCTCAGGCATACTTTTGGTTCTCCAGGATTGCGTACTCCACAGTAGAAGCTGGCAAGGATACGTCGGAGCTAGTCCAAGGGGTATCCAAGGTTATTGACAAGAACTTGGGCGATGACAGCAACATCTACGTCGATCCGACCGATCCAAAGAAGGTCTGGTTGTTTCTCTTTTCTCATAGAAATAGTTTATATCGATCTTCACGACTTGGCAAATTGTTGTTTGCAGTTCTTCCAAGTGGATGATAATCGCCAAAAGGACATTTACCAAGTTGGCCTGGTGCTTGCGCTGCTCTACCTCCTTGTCCAGTTCTTAAAACTCACACTTTGACCATAAACCGGTAAGACAGCCTTGTGAAACGGGTCTTACAAGCATGTGTTTTGGCAGAACTTGATTGTATAGAACCGTTTTGACTGCGCAAGCGACTTGTAAAATGCCTTCGTACACTACAGATAGTAACAGGATTATCGTCTTAAACACGTTCTTCTTTGTTTTCTTTGCTTTTTCTCTTTTCTCCCTTTTTTTTCTTCTCTTGAGCCTTCCGTGGCGTGTTCGCCAGGTACTGCTAGTTTCTTCTTTTCTTTCGTTGTAAAGTTCTTCACATTTTGTAGCTGGCAAAGTCGTGATCCTCGCCCCTTCCTCGCATCCTTCCGGGTCGTAGTGCTTAACAAATCGAAGTCTCGTCTCTGACCACGCACAATATAACAGCCATCAGGTTTGGATTGATAGATTAATTCCATGGCAGATCACAAGCTGGTTTCTAAGTTGCAGAAGGCCCTCCGCGGACACCAAAAGCTACGACTCATCGAGAGTGAAGATCCAGCAATCACTCACATCCGCAACCTCCTCAGTGATGACTGTGATTACTACGGCGATGAGCAGCAGCAATTGACAGAGCAATCAAGGATTTTCTATCAGCGCTTCCTAGAGGATCTCACGAGAATCGTCCAAGCCTCTTCTCCTCCTCCTCCTCCTCCTCCGCCCTCTTCTGCCAGTGTGAGCATCACGAAAGAGACGATAGGAAATTTTCCTTTTGATGCAAGGCTAAGTAACAATGCCTATTGTCTCTACAGGCGTTGAGAGAAGTAATTTGGTTTTTTGGTTAGAACACCAGCAAAACCATTGTGAGATCTGATAGAATAGTTTATAAAAAGGGGTAGAAGTTTTACAGTGGGAGATAAAAAATGGTCAAAAAAACGTTTCATACTTGCCAATAGTTATGTATGCTAAACACACAAAAACATATGTGAAACATGTTACTATAACTCTGTTAGAAAAGAGGTATATTGGGATGTCCTCAGCATGTTGGCAATGCCACATATGATGACTGGAAAGTATTCATGGTATTCTCCCTCTTATGCATGGACCAATGATTATTTGAAAGATGAAGTGAAGGATGCTACTTTATAAGGTGGCCAGCAACAAGTTCAACATGATCATAAATATTATTTGATCCATAGGTCTGTTTAAGTCTGCAGTAATGTTGACATTTGTGTAAGATGTGGTGCTTTTTACCTCCTAGATTGTTAACTCTATAGCACTTATAAGCACTTTCCCATGTTTGTGTTACCTCATCCAGAGGAAAAGATCGCCAATACCAGTAACTTCGGCTTTGAGCCATTGACAAAGTACGTGATTTCTCGGCGATAGCATGATCCAGAATAACAGTTGAACCTCCAATGCTTCCCTGAATGCGGGAGTAACTCTCATCCAAGACATTGATAGTGAACTCCATATGATTCATCCTTTGACACCTTAAACTAGCACATATGATAAGAAATCATACCTCGTCAAGTATCTCAGCAAAAGTTTGACCCCAGGCTCAATCAGCTTGAGATTACCAAGTTCTCTCCGTATCTCCTGCGAGCCAGTGGCAGCGCAAATTTTGTCCAGGAATTCCGTTGATGGAAACTCCTCGTACTCAAACTGGAGAACAAAAAGGTTACAACAAAGAGAACTCTCACCTACCACTGCACGATCAATCCGGAGTTTCAAGAGCTGGACATCAGGATCATCCTTGAGAAAGTTGACGATCTTTCTGCCACTCTCCAAGTTACAGTTCCCATGATTGCAGATGTGCACTAGTAGACACCCTTGTGGCGGAAGCTCACGTATATGCTTTCTCAACTAATCTACCGCCACCTTTTGATAAGTCATAGCCATTTTATTAAGGAGAAACTACGGAGCCTTGAAAGGATTAGCTAAAACCTTGATAGGCCTTTTGGGCGAGCTGTACATCCGTTTGCTTGTTGAGCCCATTTGCCGGATGAAGAACTGGAAACCTCTCGTCGCGCTGCCGCTGGATCACGACTTCCGGCATTCCAATCCCGACGAAAGCTGGCCTGTTCTCCTGCTGCTGATGGAAGTGCTGCGGCTCGGAGCGATCGCTAAACTGCCTGTGTACCTGAGGATGGTGAGCAGTGGCAGTGGCAACCGCTGGAATCTCCACGGCCTGCTGCAGCATTGGAGTCGACACCGGTCGAGGGATCGCGTGCTGCTCCAGGAGTTTCCTGTGAAGAGCGTCACTGCTGGGAGCGTAGAATTGATGCCCAAGAGTAGCAGCGGCTACTGCTGGAGGACGAGCCAAAGCCTCCAGTCCCATTGGAACAAGCCGCTGAGGCAACCCGTTCGTCTTGTGCACGTCTAGCAGCTCGCCTCTCGGGATGTGCTGAACGAGTAGCTTCTCTTGAGGCCTCTCCGCCACCTTGAGCTTCTCGAAGTCCGAGAGAGTGGCGTCCAAAGCTCTCCTGTCCATGGCGTCGCTCTCCCCAGAGTCTCGTCGATCCATAGCCAGCGAGCTCATGTCGGTTAGCTGGCTGCTGCTTTGCGACGACACGGAGTCCGAGTGCTCGTCCTCCACGGAGTACTGCCTGATCACCATTCCCTTGGGCAGTATACCCCGTGAAACCTCCACCAGAGGCACGTAAGTCGACGATGGCACCACGGCTCTCGACGCTGCCATCACCTGAGGCACTACCGATCGAGCAGCCACTACTTGCGGAACCAGAACTGGCGATGCTGCCTGAGCTCCGGGAACAAGTGAGGGAGTTCCAGGCGCGTAAATTCGAGGGGGCGTCGCGGCTGCTGTCAAGTTCTTGGTTGGAACTGTGACGAGGTTCACTGGAACGGATGGTGGCAAAACCTGGGGTGATACTACTGGTGGCACAACGCTTGGAATCAGAGGTGACGCTGCCGCTGGAGCTAGAGCTTGGGCTGGAGATGCTGCTGCTGGAGCTAGAGCTTGAAGTGGAGTTGGGGCTGGAGATGCTGCTGCCGGGGCTGGAGGAACTAGAGCTTGAACTGGAGCTGGGACTGGAGCTGGTACGATTTGAGGTTGTAGAACTTGAGGTAGAACCGCAGGAGGAACTGCTACAACTTGCGGTGCTGCCATAGGCATGGCTGGACTTTGCTGTGCTACTAGAGGTGGCGCCGCCTTGTCGACCAAAACCACAGGTTTTTTGTGCTGCTCCTCCAAAACCACGTTGGCCTTCCTATAAACTCCATTCACAGCCTCGACGAACTTGTGCTCCGGATCGCCAGCATTCTCGTGACCCGGTGGCTGCTTCGCGGACACCGGAAAGAGAAAGAGCCTCAGCCTCGACGATGAATCCTTGGATTCCATCCTGTCATACTCCTCCATCATGTTCTCCAGGTCCTCCTCCGAGATCACCGAGACCAGCGCGTCCAAATCTTCGTTTGGCAGCTGGTACTTGAGGATAAAACTCTCGTATGGACAGATCTTTCGGAGCTTCGTCATGAGATCGATCACTGAGACGCCCCTGTGCACCGAGAGAATTCTCGTCTCACCACCCACGTAGCGGAGCTGGGAGTCGTGCGGGCGAGGCATGATTCGACCACCATAGCTGCACAGGAATTTGGCGCGTCCCGTGAGCGAATCCTCCGACTTGACGGATCCCTGGTCCTCTGCAAAGGCCGCACACATGATTGAAAGCTCCTGGAGGGACAAAGGAAAAAGCTCGCTTTCAACACTGTACACTTTAAACAGAAAAAAAATTCCCAACTTACTCAAAGCCTTTCGAATCTTTGCCTTTCCGTTGCCTCCATCGCTAGATCGCGCCGCCAAGCTCACAAAAGCCCCATTCCCGCGCAGGCAAGGATCAATCTAGGTCAAAAATGCACCTGAGAGAATCTAAGCGCCGATGCGCCGGAGCAGTGCCGCCGATCCAAATCACATAGCCAAAACGCTCCCCGTGAGCGCCAAGAAATCAGGGCTCTCCAAAACCGCCATAGCTTGACCTCCAAAACGTGCCAATGACATGCCCACGTTTACCCTACTTTTCTGACGCGTTTACCTCTCTATGTCTAGCCACCTATAGCCGGTTAGCCCGCCACTATTCAAACTACCGGTCACGATCTCCTCGAACCTGGACGCTCCAGATCTCTTTCCTGTCAGGGGATATGGCGCTGCCCAATGGGAAACCAACGCGTGTTCTCCAATGGACCAACGACATTGACCATATTGACCGAGCGTTGACAAACAAGCTGACCTAAAGATATTCTAAGACGAATATTACCGCGCCACGCCATTTACAAATCCACCGGTCACGATCTCCCCGCACCTGGACGCTTCAGATCTCTTCCTTGTCGATATGGCGCTAGCCAATGGGAGGCCACCATTTTGGATTGCACCACCCACACCACTGGGTTGCTAAGCTGACTATCTCGCTTAGCTTAGCAGCTTAATCTAATCCCAGTAGGACTACTTTCCCTTGTCACTGTAGCTAGAGTTCCAGAGCTCTTCCTCATCCTCTCTTCCAAAACTCCAGATTTTTGTTCTTCGCGAGAGCTTGGAGATTTTCTCCAGAGGAAGAGGATCCATGGCTTCTACTTGCGCAGCAGCGTCTTCTTCCTGCATCGTCGCGGGGCTTCCCAGCATCAAGAGCTCGAGCAGCAAGAGATCTGTGGTCGGTTTCTCTGGATTCCGAGTCGCCAACAAGCTCGACGGCCTCTCAGCAGCAGCTCGGTGCTCCAGTTTCGAGAGCAAGACGGGCTTCGCGAGATCTATGGCTCGGACCACCTGCCTGGAGGCGCCGATCATCATCAGCCTGTGCACTGCTGCGTCGCTCGCCATGGGACGGTTTGTGTTCCTTCCTTTCCAGAGAGAGCAGATTGCCAAGGCCGGGTTGCCGCTCCAAAACGGTGTAAGTCACTACGAGGCCGGAGACACCCGGGCTCAGGAGTTTGTGAGCTTGCTCAAGACGAACGATCCCGCTGGCTTTAACATCGTCGATGTGCTCTCCTGGGGATCCATTGGTCATATTATTGCCTACTGGATCCTGGCAACTTCAAGCAATGGTTATGATCCTCAATTCTAGAGAGAACTGAAGTATATAAACTCACCGAACTTCAATGGAAAATCGAGGAGTGTTTCTTGTGTATACAGCTCCTGGAAATCCCTTCTCCCGAGTTCTTGTTTCATACAGTTCTTCAGGAGCTGCAAGAACGAAAGAAAAAAAAAACATATTTTTACCACGTAATGTAAATATGATCGTGCAATATCCTGGAAATGCGTACCTCTAATTGATTTTTACTCGGTAAATCTACACAGGGGGTGCCGGGAAGTCGTATAAAATCCACAGGCCCGAGCAAGAGTTGGACTCCAGGGAAGGCTGGATTGCAAGAAAATGCAATCCTCCCGCAGCTTTTTTTGCAGACTCCCATAAGTCGGCTTCCTCGTCGGCCTGCTTGCTTTTCTTGTAGTACGAGTAGAACCATTGCCGAGAAGCTCCAGATGACAGGACCAAGGCCGAGTTTTTCTTGTCCACGGAGAGAGACGCAAGCTCCAAGGAATTCGTCCAGGCTGTGGGAAAGAAGTCATTTTTATTCTTGGGAAGTTTGTATAGAGCACTTACCAGCTAGAGCTAGATCTCTCGAGGATGCAACAGCAACGCCTGGTATTAGAGTGTCAGGAGAAGGAAGCTCCGTAAGCATGTCAAGCGAGACCTCTCCAAAGTTGGAGCCTTTCTCCACCAGTTTAATTTCTTCTTGAAGCGCTGCAAGCAAATGACATAGCTCAGCTCTAGTTACGAACAAAGACACCAGAACTTCACCTTGGAATGAAAGCTGAACAAACGCCCACTTCTCGCCTCGATAGTTTGGAGGGACTTCTTTAGGAACGCTTACACCCATTGACAGTATACTTGGAGCATTCTCCTGAAATCCTGGATGTTGGCGGTAGACTTGATCGTAGCGCTCTTGCAGCCATCTTACAAGAGCTGTGCACTGCAAAGTAATGCATGAAGATACACACCTAGCTAAAAACCTTTACATACCCTCTGGCTCGAAGTCACTTGGATGCCGAGCTCTCCACAAGCCTTTGAGATTATAGTTTTCACTTGAGATCTGCATGAATTACATAAAAAAGCCGCGCAAGAAAATAGAAATGAAGTACATACCTGAAGTAGCGAACTCTCGTAGGCCGTGGTAAATCAAAGGTCTCTATAACTTCCGCTATGGCATTCTTTAACGTTGTGCTGTTGATAACATTACTGGGATAGAACCTTGCGAATTCCAGCTGCCTCTTTGCGTCACAAATAATCAATTCCCACATCCTCTTCCCCCGATCATCGAAGATAGGCCGTGAGCAAAAGTCGAGCTGCCACTCCACAATGGAGGCCAAATCTGCACCTTCCAGAACTCGTCCATCTACCTGAGCACCTTCGCCTTCTTCGTTTTCTTTCTCTTCATTTCCCTTTTCTTCATCTAAAGAAGAAATGCTGCTAGCCAAATCTTCACTAACTACACTGCTCGAGCCTTCCACGGCGCATTTCCAAACAGTCCGAGAGTTCTTTGGCCTGCCTAGTCCTGTATGTAACTGCGCACCTTTACACGGGTGGGGCGTTCTCCAGGAAACTCTACTAGTGGTGATGAATCCACAAGGCACGAAGAGCGCCATAGCCATTTACCTACGGAAGAATCAGTTGTTCCTCCTAATATTCAGATTAGAGAAAATGGAGAGAACAAAACTCAGGAAACAGATGTCATCAGACCTTAGAAGATTTTCGTGTTTATTTAAGGAGGAAGAAGTTAACAGGTTGGCATGACAACTTCTAGCCTTCGTTTGTTTTTGTCGAACTGTGCTCTCGCATTCTTGAAATCCACAGGGTGTGCCGTTTGTACCTGCGTGCCAAACTCTCATCTTATCCAAAGCCAACATGAACACGAAAAGCTTACCTTGAGCTTATACTTTTCAGGGACGTACAAAGAGACATCGGATTTCATCACGTCCAGCTCCACCTCGCTCGAAGTTTGCTGGAGACCAAGGATACATCGTAAAGTTTATCAATGCTAAATAAGGAGATGCTTACCACTTCTGGCAAGTCAACTCGCAACACAATCATCTTCGGTTTTTGATTGCCATTTGGTAGAACAGCCTTATCTGTCCTGAAAAAAGCACATTTTTTTTTTCTCTGAAAGCATTGTAAGTACCTTCGGATTAGCAGCCAGGAGTTACAAACATACCAGAATTTCCCAAGGTCCAAATCATCTCGGTAGATGAATTCGAAAGAAGGCTTCACTTCTTTGGAGGCAAGTTCCTTCACGTCTGGCACTGAATCACTTGAAGAAGCACTTGAAGGTTTCTCTCCTGCTCTTGACTTGGAAGAAACCTCCTTTTCTGTGTTTGCTTGCTCACTTGCCGATGCCTTGCGAACTGTTTGCATCTTAGGATTTCCAGATTGTCCTTTGTACTTTAGCTTGGGCAGGATAAATTCTGGAAATGGAGGTTAGAATAAAGAAAGAATATAGAAGCAGTTATCTGGTCTACCTTCACTAAGCTCTACGCCTCGTTGTTTTTGAACGTTCTCAATTGCTGTCTCTGATAGAAACCGCTTAAACCGATTGTTTTTCATGGCACGCTCATGAGCTTCTTCGTTCACCACAAAATCATAAACCTCACACTCCCCGCCAGCTGAGAGAACCATACGTTTCAACAACGAAGGAGAAAAGAAAAAATACCAAGCAAACCTTTATCCACGTCGTTTCGTGCAGGGCCCAAGCTGTAAGGGATCGACCACTGTTCGCCTTTTCCAGAATGAGTGAAAGAAGTCGGTTTGTCAATGTTGGTTGTATGGCATATGTTGATAAAAACCTGAGAAAGAAAACTATAGCGACCAACAAAAGAAAGGAAAAGAAGAAATGCAACCTTCTTATTGTTCTTCTTGTTCTTCGTTTTGAGACAATATCCAGCAACCGGTATGATCAAGTCCTTTCCTTCCATTGAAAAACTGCTGCGCTCTTCGGCCATTTTGAGGTATGCCTCAGCTTCCTGGCAAACACAACCCTTTTCTCTAAGCTGCGAGCAAAAGAAAATCCATATCTACTTACTTCCTTGCTGCCAGGCTGCGAGATCTCCTTCGCATACTCGCTCAAGAGCTCCATAAACTTGGGATCTTTCATACATGTCTTCAGCCTCGAGAATTCCTGTAGAGAAATCAAAGCCACAGTGATTCCAGCCCAGCGCCTTGCTCGATCGGCGAAGACTAACATCGGAGCTGAGATTCATCTCGCGCAGCACTTGCTCCGCCATGCCGACGAGCCCTAAATCCCAGTTAGGGCAGACAAAAGATCTCAGCCGTCGACATTGGCGCGAAAGATTTAAACATTTAAAAAAACAAAAAGATTTAATATGGATAATCCGAGACGCCAAGCATGGCACTGAGCGTGAGATAGACGAGATAGAGCCCGCCCACGATCACAATCACTGCTAGAACTCCAGTCACTGGATTGCTGAGAAGATCAAAGATGGGCTTGAAGATCGAATAGAGCCCTCCAGTCGCCACCGTCAAGAAATAGATCCCATATCTCCTCATGTTATCCCAGAATTCCTCCAGCAATGGCCCCTCCGGCCCCATCGCCAAATCCCCCAAATTTCTCCCATCTGTGGAGCCGTGAAGATCGATCGCTGCGTGCGCGGCGTCTGGATGCGTGTGGGAAAGAACACCATAGCCAATTCCAAGCGCTGCTGCTAGATACAGCGCTGTGGGCTTGAAGATCTCTTTTTGCACTGGAATTTCTGGCCGTGAGCTTGATTTTATAGAGCCCAATGGACGCGATTTGATTCTCTTCGCTCGCAACGCGGGAATTTGAGCGCAAAATGGAGATATTGATAGAGAAAACGCCATAGTGGCCACTAAGAACCCTAAAATGCGTATGAAGAGCTCTGCTTTAGGGTTTATGAGAAGTAGCCATAGCCATCGTCGTCTTCCGTGAGCACGCTCAGATTGAGTACCTGCTTCTGGCCGATCCACATCGCATGCGCCGTGTGATCTCGCAGAGGGTTTCCGGTGTTAGGATGGATCAACACCGAGAAATTCCGCCGGTTGAGAGGGATCCAGGTCACAAACTCAACGAAATCTTCGTGCTTCATGAGATTTACCTCGAAATTCCCAATTCCATGAGGGCCAATTGGCTTGTCCCACACCTTGATCTTGAATTGGGGGAATTTGCCGCGTATCTCGTCCTGGAGCTCCCTGGCCTGGCGCAGCTGGGCCTGATCGGTCTGGAAGAAATAGACGTGGACGTCGTAGGATCGAACATCGAAAGGGAAATTCGGTGTCTTTGCCATGATCATCAAACCCTAGCGAAGAACAGGGCGCTCCTTTGCTCTTATGGCTCTTGTCCACGCCTTGAATTCGCGGTTCCTGGCGCCCAATCGAAGAATCGAGCGCCACCCATTTGCATTCGCGCCTAGAATCCTTGGAAATTCGCCTCGCCGGGTATTAGCCCTCTGCGATCGATGCCTAGCTCACCACTGTGGTTTTTCTTTGGGCAGGCGAACAAGGATCGCGTCGCATGCCCTCGATCTTCCGCGGAGGAGACGAAGCCCAAGACAGTGTTCGTCGCCGGCGCCAATGGCAAAACCGGGAAGCGCATCGTGAGCAAGCTGCTAGCGGATGGATTCAAGGTCCGCGCCGGTGTTCTGGATGTTGCCAAGGCTCGATCCAATCTACCCAGCAGCCCCAACATCGAAATTGTGTGAGATCTTCATCCATTTCCTCCATTTCTCCGCCATAGCCAAAGCTCGCCTCGTTTGTTCTTCCTTGTCTCAGATCCCGGCTGACGTGACCCAAGGGACAAATCCACTGGCAACTTCTATTGGAGACGCGGATGCGGTGATTTGCGCTACTGGATTTCGCTACTCTCTCGATGTCCTGGCTCCCTGGAAGGTAGATTCTTTCAGGATCTCGACTGGATCGATCATACATTCTTTCTCCTCAGGTGGACTATCGAGGAACCCTAAACCTCGTGGAAGCGTGCCGCAAGAATGGGATCAAGAGATTCGTGCTCATAAGCTCCATTCTCGTGAATGGCGCCGCGTGGGGGCAGGCGCTCAATCCGGCCTATCTGGTGCTCAATGCGTTTGGTCTCACGCTCATCGCCAAGCTCCAGGCCGAGAACTATGTGAGAAGCTCTGGGATCAATTACACGATCATCCGGCCTGGGGGCCTCTCGGAGGAGAAATCGGATGGAAACAAGAAGATCGTCATGGCAAAGCAGGCAAGGCATTGTTCTCCTTTGATTCTTTGAGAAATTGACGATTTGATCGCAGGATACGCTCTCGTCCGGATCGATTTCGCGAGATCTTGTCGCTGACGTTGCCGTGGAGTCGATCGATTGCGACGATGCGAGCTTCAAAGTAGTGGAAATCGTCGCGGAGCCTGGCGCCCAAAACCAGAGCATCGCAGAGCTCTTTGCCCTAATTTCATAATCCTGGTGGGCCGAGTGACGCCGAAGAAATCTAGGGCGCGGCATTTTGATATTGTCTCTATCCCCAGCGATGAGCGCCGATCTAGTGTCCAAGCTGCGCGCGGCGCTTCTCCATCACCAGGTTCGTCTCGATCCAGTGCCGCAGCGCCAGCACGTCGAGGATCCCAACGATCCCACGCTCGCTTACATTTCCCGGATGCTTCTGGACGAGGAGGAGGAGCCGCCGCCGCAGATGATCCAGCTCCAGGATCCCTACAAGAATCTCATCGCGGAGCTCGCCGTTCTGGTGTCTTCGCCCGGCGGCAGTGGGAATCTCATCCATCCAGACGATTCTGGAAATATTTCGGTGCCAGACGTCCACGAATCCAGGACGGGGTTCCTGAAATCGATGCTCCTGGAAGCGGCTCGAGCGGTGGCGGGGAATCGTGGCTCCGAGGTCTACAGGATCATCAGCGAGGTGAGGAGCCTGGCATCGCCAGAGGGCAGCAGTGAAGAACGCACGGCCTTGTTCTTCGCGGATGCCCTGATTGCGCGCTTCACAGGGTTTGGGTCTCAGGTCTACAGCGCCATGGTGAAAGGGATTCGCTAGAGGCACTCGGTCCACGTCCGGATGCTCAATCTCCCATCCTTCAGGGTCACCCAGCGATTTGCCAACGGCACCATTCTAGACTTTTGCCAAGGAGCTACGAGAATTCACATCATCGACTATGGGATCCACTATGGCTGCCAGTGGCCCCAGCTCATCCAGAGGCTCTCGCAGCGGCCAGAGGGACCGCCGGTGATGAAGATCACAGGGATCGACTTTCCTCGCGTGGACGTCAAGGAGACAGAGAGAAACCTCGTGGAGTATGCCAAGAGCTGTGGAATCTTGCTCGAGTTTGAGGTGATCACGAGCACGTCCTGGGAATTGGTCCAGCCCAAGACTCACGTGAATGACTTGCTCATCGTCAACTGCAACCTCCGTATCCGGCATTTGCGAGAAGATGGCAGCGTCGGCGACAATCCGCGGAAGCTCTTCTTCGAGAAGGTCTACAGCCTCAAGCCGAACCTGTTCATACAGTGCGTGTGGGATGCCGGCTCCAACTTGAGCTCCCCTTTCTTCATCCAACGTTTCGAGGGGGCTCTCGAGAGTTTCTTCACGAAGATGGACCTGTTTCAGACTCTGCTGCAAGAGGACATGCCGGAGGAGTATGATTTCATAGGGAACATCATGGCAAAGACGATCATGAACATGGTGGCTATGGAGGGCGTTGAAAGGCTGGAGCGGCCAAATTCTTACAGGAGCTGGGATTCGAGGGCTAGAAGAGCTGGATTTGAGCAGGAACCAGTTAGGCCGAAAGCGGTGGAGCTGGTTAAGGCAGCGTGGTGCAGCAGTAAGCCCAATTGCAACTTCAAGATGGGGATGGATGGAAACTGGTTGCTACTCGGATGGAAAGAGAGGGTCCTCTATGCGATGAGCACCTGGAGGCCGCAGAACAAGCAAGCGGGCTAAACTGCGGTAAGTTTCTCATTTGTTCCTTCTTTAAGTTCTTTCTATTCTAGTGTATCTTAACGCTGACTAGAGCAGCATCAGGGATTCTCTGATGAAGAGTGATCTAAAATCCCTGGAAGAGTGGAGCTCGGCTCGGTGGAAGAAGACCGAGTCCAGTCCAGATTCTCTTGAAATGCAAACGGGAATATGTAAAAATGATTGGTCAGGTTAGTAAATCGTAGTGTCAAACGCCTTTGAGGGAAAGGTACTGCTTGATAGTGAACCCTGTCCAAAGAGTATTCACTTTTTTCTAGTGCCATACGAAGAGAAACGCAGTCAGACAGTGAAGTATGAAAGTGAAAAATAGTTCTAAGAAATAATTGCATTTGGCTCACTCATTCCTTGAGTAAATCTTCTATCTGTCATTATCAAACCAGAAGGTAGTTCACGGGGCGGCACCCCATACATAATTAGATTCATGGCCTTATCAGTAGAGCAGGAGTGTCTATCCAAGAATGGAAGGAGGTTTCTCAATTTGCCTTTACAAGTGTCAGGATCAAGTGAGATTTACCATAGTCACAGAACAGGCAGTTTGAGTAAGTAATGTTCTTTTTCTTGAGCAATAGGTTTAGTGAAGTGTTATCTGGTGTTAATGATAGTTCTTGATTCTTCATCAGGAGAGGGATCTAGAACATGATTTTATTTATAAGTTCTTTAATTTTAAATGTTGTTGAAGATGTTGTTTGTCCATCATATGCACTTCCTCCTAGAATTGTAAAATCTATAATAATAAGAACGAAGAACCCACACCCCGGCAGCCGTCCGATCCCAGGCCCGGGGCAGCCTCGAAAGCCATGGTTCTCGGCAAGGGGAGGCCAGCCCAGGCTCGGGCCAGGGCCGGTGGCCATGGTTGGCGGGAATATCGGCTCAATGTTGTGGCAGCCAATGGGTGGGATGCATGCGTGGCCAGGAAGGGAAGAGGGCGTGGTGACAAGTGTTATGCCATGCACTCCTAAGGCTCCATGGCTGCTGTGGTCGGACACGGTTGTGTGGGCATTCCCGTGAGAGCCTGTGCGTGGTAAGTAACAGGGGCGAGAGTAATGGTAGGATCAACGAGGCCTAGGCAAAGCAGGAGATGCTGGCTTACCAGGCCCCGTGCCAAGCCGAGCTCATGAGGTCGGAGAAGACGCCCCACCGGACACAACCTGGCACTGCTCCCAATCACCAAGAAGTCGAAATATTTCATCGAGCTTCCATCCAGACGTGTTCTTGAATGGCGGCCATTCTGGTGTGAGGAAATCCTCCCATTTGCGGCAGCGTTTGGTATGATCCCTGTTGGAGACCTGCGTCTTTACCAGTGGATTCATAGAACGCTACTCTTTGAAGGTATGGCATGGAGTCCCTCTTTTGCATTAGAGCGAATGTTGTGAAGGGGAGCTGACACCTCTCTGTGGGATTTGCAGGCGAGAGAAGATGTACCTCGGTGCTTTTCACTTGAAAGTCGTCCATTTTCATCTTCACCCCATCGAAGATCCAAGCCCAAACTCGCAGTGACAAGCAAAGCAGCACAGGGACTCCTAGAGGCTTGGGGATATTATATTCTAAACAGCACGCACGGATTGATTGGAGTCAAGTCATGTCACACAAGCAGACGAGATGATGGACTCTGGATATTAACACGTAAGGTGGTACACAGGATTAATTGGTTTTGACTTTCTCACTGAACTTTGCCATTGTTTCAGGAGGAAGGAACACCGTGACTTCAATGGCTTTCCCACCTCTCGGTGACGGTCGTAGAAGCAGAAGCCGTTCCACAGCTTCGTAGCGTGTCGAACAGCGGCTGGTTTCCCCCATCCAAAGTCCAGACTATACATTGGAAATCTTGGAGAGCTGCCAGAGATTGGTAAACACAACATTGGAGTTATTTTGTTGTTCTTGAGTGTGCTTCGCAAAAGTCTAATATTTTCCTTTCAGATCATTACATTTTTATGAAATTTATATATATCCAGCTGTAGTCTGCATTCATAAACTTCTATACAAACTCAATTAAAATATATATATATATATATATATATATATATATATATATATATATATATATATATATATATATATATATATATATATATATATATATATATAATCAAACCTATAATCGAAGTGACTGAAAATGCCTCGCCTCCGCCATCTTTTGAGAACCATACGACATAGTAAACAATCTAATGGAGATTTAGATGCCTCTGAAACTATGATTGATCATGATACACATACTATAGCTGTTCAAAATAATCATGATAATGATTCTATACACCAAAATATTAATCATGATAATGACTATATACAGCAATCAATTGGACACTCAGAAGCATCTGGAACCTTACATGCATGTCATTATGACAATTACATATATCAAACAATATTAAATCCACCACTCCCACCCATGAATACCACACTAGCAAGCCATAGCATTTATAATGACTTTAACATAATAATTTTAATATTGGTAGTTTATCATTTGTTTGTACTTTTTGTAATGCATTGCATTTTAAAGATGAAAACTCTTCAATGTGTTGCCAGAATAACCAAGTTATATTACCTCCAATTTCACCCTTACCATTTGATTTACTTTCACTTTACAAGCAAAATAAAAACTCTAATTTTAAAACAAATATTAGACACTACAATAGTGCTCTTGCTTTTGCATCTATGTCTTCTAATATTGATATTGTAAAAGGTCATGGTCCTTATTGCTTTAAAATCCATGGTCAAATATATCATAATATTGTTTTAGCACATCCTTCTGAAGGTCAATATCAAACTTATGGACAACTTTATATGCTTGATACTCTAGAAGCTACAAATATAAGAAAGCAAAACCCTTTTAATTCAAGCTGTGAGACAAACTTACTTAAACATCTTGATGCTCTCTTTCGTCATGTTAACTCATATGCTCAAGCTTTCAAAATGATATATGAAATGGAACAAGAAGAAATTCGTTCTGCTACGCTTTCAGGTTATCCTATACATAGTGTTTACATGTTATTAAAAACTGAAGGAACTGATCCACGACGCTATAATGCTCCACGGACAAATGATGTTGTTGTTATGTTTGTTAGTGATGATGGAGAACCGCCACATAGTCGTGAAACTTGTATATATCCAATTGCAAGCAATTTTAAATGTATCTCAACACTTGATTATAATTGTGATCCAATGGTTTACCCATTAATATTTCCTTTTGGTGACAGAGGTTGGCACAAAAATATTTTTAATTCCGGACGTTGAATTACATTGCTCCAATATTATGCATACCGTTTATTTATAAGAGACACAATACACTTTGGTTTTGATCAAATTTTACATGCAGGAAAACTCACACAACAATATATTGTTGATGCTTATGTAAAAGTTGAAAGCAATAATTTGAATTACTATCACACTCATCAAAAACAATTATGAGTTGAAATGTATATTGGTCTTATGGATTATGTTGCAAACCGTGCTACTAATGAAAATATAAATCCAACCAAGATTGTTATTTTACCTTCAAGTTTTGGGGGTGGCCCTAGAGCAATGCAACAAAATTATCAAGATGCAATGCCTATAGTTACTCATTTTTCAAAACCAGATCTTTTCATTACTTTTACATACAATCCCAAATGGCCAGAAATTTCTAAAAACTTACATCCAAATGAAAGCCTTGAGGATCGTCTAGATTTGGTTTCTAGAGTATTTCATATCAAGCTTAAAGAATTTTTGAATGATATTACTAAAAAACATATTTTTGAAATTGTATTGCTTTTATATATGTAATTGAATTTCAAAAGAGAGGCCTTCCACATTGTCACTTTCTAGGGATTTTATCTCATGAAAACTAAATTAAAAACCGTGATGCTATTAACCAATACATAACGGCACAATTGCTTGATCCTCAAAATGAACCTAAAATTTCTAAAATAATTACATCTCATATGATACATGGTCTTTGTGGCCCTCTTTACCCTAATAGTCTTTGCATGGAAAATGGCTCAAAAGGTTATCCAAAAAAATTTAATTATGAAACTACTTTTAGTGTTGATGGATATCTAGATTATTATAGGCCTGATAATGGCCGTACATTTCTAAAAAATGGGTATAATCGTTGGGTAGTGCCTTATAATAAATACCTTTATAAAAAATATAATGCTCATATTAATATTGAAATTTGTGCTACTATAAAAAGTATTAAGTATTTATTTCAATATGTTTATAAAGGTTATGATTGTGCTACAATTGAAATCCATTCAGCAACCCAACAACCTGATAATATTTTAAATTGGGATGAAATCTCAACATTTTTAAATACACGTTATGTATCTGCTCTAGAGGCAATATGGAGACTTTTTAAATTTAAAATGCATGGTCATTTGATCCCTATAATCCGTCTTCCTATTTATCTTCCAAATTTTCAAAACATCTATTTTATAGAAGGTTCTGAACAAATAGCACTTCAAAGAGCTACTCAAAATGATACAATGTTGACAAAATGGTTTGAATTAAATATAAATGACCCAAATGCTAGACAATATACATATCCTGAAATCCCTTTATATTATACATTTAACCCTCATCCTCATCACTGGCAAATTCGACATACAAGAAATGTCATTCCCTGAATGTATTCTGTGTCACCATCTAATATTGAACTATATCATTTACATCTTATTTTACTCCATAAAAAAGGTGCTACATCTTTCAAAGATCTTAAGACAGTTAATAATATTTATTATGACACATTTCAACAAATTGCAGATGCAATGGGGCTTATAGCTGATGATACCGAATGGGAAAAATGTTTAGAAGATGCTTGCTTTTTTAGAATGCCATCACAATTAAAACAATTATTTGTATTACTTTGTATCTTTTGCACTCCAAAAGATCCTTACCTCCTGTGGGATAAATTTAAAGACTTCCTCTTTAAGGATTTCATGCAAACAAATTCAATTTTTCATTATGAACATGCTTTACATGATATAAATATTAAAATGAAAATGCATGGCAAAACTAATCAAAACTATCATCTACCTATGCCGTCTGAAAATTTTGATGATGAAAATATTGTCAACTCAACACAAATATATCAAAATGTTGAACAAAATATTCCTCGATTTAATCAAGAACAGTTAAATATTTTTAATGATATTCTTAATGTTATTGATCACCCAACTGAGCATAATTGATACATTTTCATTGATGGTCCTGGTGGTACTGGTAAAACATTTCTTCTTAACACTTTTATAAATATTTTACAACTGAAAAAAATAAATGTTGTTAGCATGGTTTGGACAAAAATTGCAAATACTTTACTTTATAATGGCCGAACTTCACATACTACGTTTAAACTTTCCTGTTCCAATAAATGAAACATCAATTTCCGCTATAACTGCTAATAGTGAAGCAGGTATAAGAATCAAAACTACTAACATATTGTTATGGGATGAAATAAGTATGGTTCACACTCATGCATTCACTGCTGTTGATCAAGTGTTGCGAGACCTAAAAAATACATCATTACCTTTTGGTGGCATAATTGTTGTCACTAACAGGGACTTTAGACAAACACTTCCAGTCATTCCACATAGACATAGGGCATAAATTGTTTCAAGTTCTGTAAGAATGAATAAATTATAGAGATTATTTAGAAAGTTATCTTTGAAAACAAATATGTGGCTTGCTGAAAGTGATAAATCATAGTCTGAATGGCTTCTCAAAATTGGAAATGGTGAAATTTTTGAAAATTTACCATCTTTACCTTCTAACTCCATTTTATTACCTTATACACAACTAATTTATTCATCAATTATTGATTTTGTTTACCCTTCAGTATTTGATATTTCAAACCCTTATATTGCAGCCAACCGAGTCATACTTACCCCACTTAACGATGATATATTTGCAATCAACAACACTATTGTCTCTAAATTACAAGGTGATACATACATTTACAAAAGCATTGATTTTGTTGACACTGAACATCCTGAAAATTTTCCAATAGAATTTCTAAATTTTATCACACCTTCTGGTCTCCCACCACATAAACTCTTTCTCAAACAAAGTGTTATTCTTATCCTTCTAAGAAATATGTCTCCATCAGCAGGATTATGCAACGGCACACGTCTCATCCTGAAAAATGCACTACCAAATGTTTTAGATTGTGAAATTGTGATGGGGCAATTTAAAGGGATAAAAGTTTTTATCCCACGTATCACACTAATACCATTAAATACAGAAATTTCATTCAAAATGTCCAGATGACAGTTTCCAATTCGTTTGGGTTACTGCTTAACAATCTCCAAATGCCAAGGACAGACATTTGACCGAGTTGGAGTTTACTTGCCCCACCCAGTTTTCACTCATGGGCAACTTTATGTGGCTTTATCAAGATGCACATCACCACATGGACTTAGAATTAAAGTTCAAAACACCACACGCCAAAGCCACCTCCTTCCTCAAGATCCTTTTGTTTTTACAATTAACACTATTTATAAAGAGGTTTTATATTGAACCTCTTTGTAAACCACCTAGCATTTGCTGGGCAAGTACTTGTATAATTATGAATTTATAAGTCATAATAGTGATTTTATAAAAGATTTTATTTGTATGGATGACAATATGGAAATACCAATAATGAATTGTAAGATATGATAACTCAATTACTTGATGATAATATCCAATAATCACATGCACTACGAAGGAAATACACATGGGTGCGCAATATATATAATTTCAATTAAGACTATATCTTGCTCAAGGGTATATTATATTTGAAATAATTATTAATCAATAATAATTAAAATCATATCATTTATTTTGATATTATATATAATGCACTCTATCTCTTTCCCCTGAATCCAAATGGAAAAGGAGTAATTTTTTAATGAAAAACCCTTAATAACTATTTATCCTTATTTATCCTTTGAGGTTCCAAAGATCCACAGTGACAGTATATTTAAATGTTATTTTATGATCACATATGTTACAATATAAACACCTAAATTACCAAGGAAATAATGTTTAATATCATAAAAACATTATATAAGGCCCAAGGGCATAAATTCATAAAGAATAATAGATAATAGGTATTATTTAGAGTTAAAAATTATTAAAAGGTAAAACCAGAGGAAACTATCCAAAATGGATAATGCCAAAAGGATTTTAATACAAATATATGGGGCCTATGAATAATAATTATGATGTGTTGAATTATAAATTGTGTATATCTAAATTGAAAACCCACTCTTTAAGTCATTGAGTAAATTTATCCTTAAAACACATATTAAGACATGGAGGATCAACACTAATGGCCCATTTCATTAAAGATATAGTCAAATATTTTGGAACCTTAAACAATTTATAGTCCAATTGTGAGGCACCATATGTTTATATTTATCTTTATTTAATTTGTTTTCTTCTCATTTGACTTTTTTTGTGCTTGTTTCACTTCATTTGAATTTTTTTGTTGTTTGAATTCATTTGGGGGTCAAAGCATGAAAGGGTGGGCCAGAAAATAGACATTTTTTAGTAGTTTACAGTGAATATAAATTTTAATTTTTCTATTAGATCCTTTATGATTTTTTAAAATATAAATAAATGTGGAATGTAATGTTGCATATATCTACTTCAACAAAAATTAAAAATCGTTTTTTAAAATTTAAGTTTTGGCTGAACATCCTAAAAAGTCTTTTTTATGATCTCACCCTTGACTTAGTTTTAAAACTTGGTTTTAGCTTGATTTATGAATTGCACACTATAGATGATTATTGACCATTTTGCAAATACACATGAATGCATAGATGCCAAGATGTGTCTTCCATTCATATGTGATCATGTGGTGAGTCAAATAGATAGTGTTGACAAGCCATCAAGAATCAACATTGATGTAGTTTTTGAAAGTATAGCTACTTACCTATGTAGTGTATATGATATTAAAGGCTACTCAGTGATTCCAAAAGGTAAAGTGGTTGAAATAACTTTGATTGCTTGTGAAGTGGAAGAATTGAATGGGAGATCAAAGAAGATTTTGAATTAAATGTAAATTCTCCTCAATTAACTCCTCTTAAGCAAGAGCTTATTAGAGAAGATGCATAAAGCATTTGGGCTATTTAGTTTCTCTTGTGATTTTCTTAACTTTGATACAAAATTATCACCGCATTTCGAGTACATGCTCCACCTCATAACTCTATGCCATATATGATATGATGATATGAATACCATACTAATAAATCTTGGGTCATGCTTCTTATACACCAATACTCCAAATAACCAAGGATCTAATAAACTAGAGGATTTATAAAAAATTAAGGGAAAATTACAATAAAGATTGAAAATGTATGGGTAATTTAAAACTTTCAAATATATCTACAAAATGTGGTCTGCACTTTTCAAATAGAATAATGTTGAAAGTCATCTATTTTTCTTTCTTGTACCTTAAATCTCATTTAATTTGGACCCATGTTATTTCATGAAGAAATCTAGAGCCCCAAAGCAGAGCCAGATCTTTCATTGACGGAAGAAATCGTTTGCTGACATATCCAGGAACCTTGGGCATTATGGCACCGAAGCACTGGGAACATGCTAGGGTTGAAGAATTCAGTGGATCCAAAATGCGCACTCTTAAGCTCACTAAACCATTGCCGAATCGTGCAGAAGAACTCATGTGAAGAGTTGTCCAAATCATTGGGGGATGGACTTAAGCTGTGATACCTTCACCAGAGGAAGCTTTCTGAGATCGGAGATAGATTTTGTTTGGCATTTCAATGATCTTAGAGTGTATTTCGGTATTAAGAACCCAGAAGCATAGCATTTTATTCCACCACATAATATTTGAAAGGAACACCAGTGTGACCACTGGCAATGGAGCTTGCTACGCTTCACTTTCGGGGGCTTAAACTAGTACCACCACTTTGAGTACAAGGTCTCCCAGCGCACCGGAAGTAGAAAAGGACGGAAGCTGCACAACACAATTCTTGCACTCATCGCTGACAGACAGCTTATTACTGCCAGTGTATGGACAATCAAAGTGTATAGTGGCAACTTTGAAGCCCTTCGTATAGATGTCAAATCCACCTGTAGTCCCAGATGGAGAACCTTGCCTTCCACATGCAGCAAATGGCGGGTTGGGAGAGGTTGCTCCAGCAGCAATGGTTATCCCACCTGGTGCGCTGCCATCATTGTTCTTATTTGGGTACTTATACCACTTTCCATATGATAAGAAGGAGTTTTTCACTTCTAAGGTGTCTCGTCCCAGGTTTGTGATCTTGAAGGATACCCACTGAGGATATCCTCTCAACTTTCCATCTGCATTACACATGTATTTGTAAGCCCAGCAATTAAACTTGAGTTACGAACCGGTGACTTGAAAAATAGAAACCGAGTCCTCTTCTCCAGCCGAAGCAGCAGAAGCTAAGCTCCCAATGGATATGCAAAGCAATGCTAGAAGGAAAGAAGAACTCGACATGATTTCTTGCAAATTTGGATTTGGGCTTGCAAATTTATACTCCCTAAATATCACTTTTTAAACGTTTAACAATGATTATGGAATCTAAAACAAAGCACAAAGTTCTAAAACTTGAACCATTTTTTAAACAGGTTAGTGCCTCCTAAGACTAAGGAGCAGTATGTGGCATAATTGTCAGTCCCACGTGAAAGATTGCGACGTATAGCGACGTTTAGCTTTCCAACACTAGAGTATAATTATCATAGGAGAAAATTGAAAAGATAGATCGTCACATATTTCAGCTGAATTCTTACGTGAAATGGTCATTGTTTAAGAAATGCAGTACCAACGGGAGCAAGAGTTCACGGCGAGATCCTCCAATTTTGCAGCAAAACCAGGAATCTGTTGCGTGCAAAAGAGATTTACGAATTCGGGGGGAGTGACGATTGTGCAGCAAGCAGCTGCACAATCCATCCATGAATTTGGATGGATCCATGCACATTCATGAAATTGGAAATCCAGATGTTTGGAAGATGTGGGAGCTTGCAAGAAGCAAGAGAGAGATCGCATGGGATCTGCAAGGAATCGTTTCTTGTGGAACAACATGATTGCTGCGCAGGATATGCCAAACCGGCTATCGGGAGTGAAGGAATTGCTATGGGAGACAAGAACATTGTAGCCTGGAATCAGGTCAAAGATATTGAAAAGGAAAGATAATTTGATGCAATGCCGGATAAGTTTAGTGGACTGCGATTCTTACAGCATATGCCCGGTGTGGGTATTTGATAAAAGCGAAGCTAATCTGTGATTCGATGACATTTTTTCCTGGAATTCAACGAGGCCTTTTCGAACGAATTCCCGAGCACGCCTCATGACGTGGAATTGGCTATCTTTTAAATGCCAAAGCCGAGAGAGTTGTTTCCTCCATCGTCAGAGCATATGCCCGGAGCGGGCATACGACCAGAGCCAAGCGGATGTTCGCTGCCTTCTCGGGAAGAAAGATCTCATCGCCTGGAACACGCTGAACACGGCCTTGTCGCATTGCCAGGATCACGGCAGAGACACCATCAACGTGGCGTTTGATCCCGAGCATTCGGCGTTTGTGAGCGTTCTTGGTGCTTGCGGCCAGCTTGGGCTGTTCTAGTGGGGATGGAGCTACTTTCGAAACATGCCCAATGATCACCGCCAAGTGGATCTCTGCACTTGATCTGGTCAACTAGCTGCCGAGGATCTCATATCCAGCACGTCCCGGATGGAGCCTGGCAAGAGTCAAGAGGATACACAATGAGCAGAACTGGTTGCTCATAGTGCGTCCACTCCTTGACACCATCATTTAGTTATTGTATGCTCTCCTTTCCCATATTTAAGTCACTCATAGCTCATCACATGGTCCTCTGTGTGTGTGTGTGTGTGTATTCATTGTTTTGTGATTCCAATGCGTGATAGGAGATAGTCAAAATGGGATCCAACGTATACATCTCTCTCCAAAAGTAGAAGTAGTGTTTTATAATTTTACAAAAACTTACAAGCGATTTATTCTTTCCTGGAGTTCAGAAATCATCCTCAATGCTGATGCTTCTTGGAAAAATTAAGATATAAATATCTTTGAAATGTCCAAGGCATCTGTTCTTCACTCTTATTATCATCACGTTGCACTTTGAAAGAGAAATTTGCCGCAGGAGTGATTGTTTCCTTCAAGCTGGAATGAAACCTAAGTTTGCTCATAGATTTAGATGTTTGTAATAATGTATGTATGGTATGTTTGATCTTGGGTGCTTTACAAGTTGACTACATTTTGATATTTTCTTATCTATACTAATATATCTTCTCTAAATCTCTTTAGAATTTTTGAGCAGCATAAACCTTTTTATACAGGGTTTTCTCAAAACCCAATTTTAGGTCTATATAATATTCATTTGGGAAATTTACATAGCTTTTGAGTGCGTTTAATAAGTTTTCTCAAATTTTTTTCTCTATGATATTGTACCACTTGTGTCTAGCTTCCCACAGAGCTTTGTTGTATAGTTTTATATTGTATATTGCAGGTGTGAATGTGTTAATCATGTCTGCCATTTCTTATAGGAATTCATCTATATAAAAACTTCTTAAAACTTCATGAAACTTCCAGGGGTATTTTTGTCTGTTTCAATCTTTTGAGGGTAAAATTATTTTCACGTACCGAGGTGTGAATATTCAGTATCAAGAATATGGACAAAATTTAAAATTCTAATCTGTATGCAAAAGTCAATATTATGGCGGACTTAAACGACTCCTCAACTTTACTTATACAGATAAGATAGAAAGGTTTGATCTATTATCATGTTGATCTTGTTGTTGGTGACCCTATTAAGTAGCATCCCTCACTCGAGCCCTCAAATAATTGTTGATCCAGGCATAGGAGGGAGAATACGTCGTGAATACTTTCCAATCATCATAGGCGGCCTTGCCAGCTTGGTGACGAACATCCCAGGCGGCCCAGTCTCACCTGGTATATTTGCTAGGGTTGTTTTAGTTGGCAGCCAGCAGTGCCTCCTCCGTGTCTCCTTTTACAGCAACACCTGTGATGCCACACCAACACATGACGACACCCTTAGACGCTACCAACTTATCTTTGCATTTCAGAACCTCCTACATATAATGTTGAACAACTTGTATGCAACAGGAGCAAACTATATTACAATCATTAATGGAAGATTTGGGATGGAGTATGTGCTTGACGAGGCAACTCAGCAAGACTCACGTCAGAGCTCTATGCTATACGATCTTGGGTCATGCTTCCCATATGTCAACATGATCCAGAGTGGGCCAAAGTCACGAGTCTACTCAAGGGTCAATGCTGGGTCAAAGTTGGAGTCTCAAAATGGGTGGTACTCAATGGAGGTGCGGTATGGGTGTGACATGGTGGTCAAAAAGGCAAGTGGTGTCTTGTGGAAAACAGATGTGAGAGAAAGTAGCCAAACTGGCTGCTACTTTGCATTGCAAATGGATGGGAATGGTGTGCTTGAGAATGAGAGTGTTTGTGTTTGGGCAACAAATACTATGGAAGGTGGATTGATTTCATCAATATTAGTGATGCAGAATGATGGCAACCTAGTGTTGTACAAGACTGACACACAGAAAGCAGTGTGGGCATCTAATACAAATAATAATAAATAATGTATATTTTATATTGGGCATTAATCACTATACTCCATCTTCCTTGACTAGACTAGTTCTTGTTCAAGAGGAGCCAACTGAAGAGTATTTGCACTTGGTTTGAATTCTTCTTTGATCTCTTCAAAAGGATCAACATTCAATTCTTCCATTACATCAATAGTTAGAGCCCTTGTCTCAACCACCTTACCTCTAGACATGCTCAGCATTGCTTTGATGTCAAAGGTAAACATATGGCATTAATTTTGTCTAGGTCTACTGAAGCTTGCAATGTCACCATCCCGTCCATACACATGTAGGGGCATACATCATGAAAGCATTGCACATTTAGTCACGCCTTATAAAAATCAATATCAACTCCAATTTACTTTCCTTTCCAATAATTTTATTGGTATCATATATCATAAGATGCTTATTTGTCTTCTTTAGTAAATCCAAATTCAGGCTTATAGATAGAAACGACTTTGCTTGACTCCATTTTAACAACTGGTTAAGATAATTAATTTATTGGAGTGAATCATTTAGCTGGTGGAGCCCAATATTACTTAAAAACCTTCAACATCCATGAAATAAAGCCAATGAGTAAACACTACGATCACACCAAACAGCCTTTTCCCTGATTGTCATAGAAAGCAAAACTTGGAGACTGCACTGTCCTCTCGTCCCAATCCAGATACAATTCATTCACATCCTTCTGCAAGCCGTATTCAAAGTAGTTGACTCCGTCAGAAAGATCAAGGCAGATACCCCAAGATAACAACGAGCACACGCAATCGACTTTGAGGACGCGGCAGCAAGAAACTCTCGGAAGTGATCTGGTTCCGGATCGCGGGAGTCATGGGCGGAGAATCTAGCAGCCGTGTTCTTGACCAAAAGCTGAACTTTGGAGTGATCCTGCGCATGAGCGGCGGCGTCGTGGGATCGTTGTCACTGTCCCTGGTCTTGGTGAGAGCTCCGAGAGGGCATTGTCCGACAACGCGGAGCTCTTCATGGTCTCTATGCTCGAGCAAGCCGCAGAAGAGCACAAAGTTGACAACCACCGCAAGTGGAGATTGTTTCCGCTGCAGCCCTTGTAGCTCCAATCTCCGTGTCTACTTTAAATCACAGACAGCGTCATCTATGCTAGAAAAGGAACTTTGGAAAAGCTGACCAGAGTTTCTACTTGCTCGTCCTCCAGGCGCTCATCGCAAAGACGATACTCTCCTTCCATCCGAGCAGCAGCCAGTGCCCATCCACGCCCAGCTTGAAGTTGTTGTTTAGCTTGCTGCTGCTGCACCACACGTCCTTCACCACCTCGATCGTTTCCAGTCGAACCGGCAGCAGCTCAAATCCAGCTCTTCTAGCCCTCGAGTCCCAGGTCCTGTAAGAATTTGCCCGCTCAATCCTTTCAACGCCCTCCAGAGCCACCACGTCCATGATCGCCTTTGCAATGATGCTCCCCATGAAATCATACTCCTCCGGCATGTCCTCTTGCAGGAGCAGCGTCTCGAACAGCTCCATCCTCGTGAAAAGCGTATCGAGCACCCCCTCGAAACGTTGGATGAAGAAAGGAGAGCTCAAGTTGGAGGTGGCATCCAACACGCACTGTATGAACAGGTCCGGCTTGAGGCTGTAGACCTTCTCGAAGAAGAGCTTCCGCGGATTGTTCCCGACGCTGCCATCTTCTCGCAAATGCCGGAGGCGGAGGTTGCAATTCACGATGAGCAAGTCCTCGACGTGCGTCTTGGGCTGGACCAATTCCCAAGACGTGCTCGTGATCGCGTCGAAGTCGAGCGAGACTCCACAGCTCCTGGCAAACTCGACGAGGTTTCTCCCCGTCTCCTTGACGTCCACGCGAGGAAGGTCGATCCCAGTGATCTTCATCGCCGGGGGGCCTTGCGGCCGCTGCGAGAGCGCCTTGATGACGTGAGGCCACTGGCAGCCATACTGGATCCCATAGTCGACGATGTGAATTCTCTTCGCGCCCTGGCAAACGTTGAAGATGTTGCAAGCGGCGAAACGCTGGGTGACCCTGAAGGATGGGAGATTGAGCAGCCGGACGTGGACAGAGTGCCTCTCTCGGATCCCTTTCACCATGGCACTGTGTACCTGTGGACCAAACCCTGTGAAGCGCGCAATCAGGGCATCCGCGAAGAACAAGGCCGTGCGTTCTTCACTGCTGCCCCCTGGCGATGCCAGGCTCCTCACCTCGCTGATGATCCTGTAGACATCGGCGCCGCGATTCCCAGCCACTGCTCGAGCCGCCTCCAGGAGCATCGATTTGAAGAGAATCGTCCTGGATTCTTGGAAAGCTTGACCGTCGAGCGGCGGCGGCGGCGGCGGCACCGAAATGCTTCGACGCTTGGAATCCCCACAGCCCGCCGAGACCAGGGCGCCGAGCTCCGCGATGAGATTCTTATAGGGATCCTGGAGCTGGATCATCAGCGGCGGCTCCTCCTCGTCGTCCAGGAGCATCCGGGAAATGTAGGCGAGCGTGGGATCGTTGGGATCCTCGACGTGCTGGCGCTGCGGCACTGGATCGAGACGAACCTGGTGGTGGAGGAGCACGGCGCGCAGCTTGGAGACGAGGTCGGCGCCCATCGCGAAGCTCGCGAAAGCTTCTCGCGAGGAAAGAAGACGTGATTCGCTTGATATGCCCTGCCTGATGATATGTGTTGCATTTTTATAAGTTTTTTATTAAGGGTCAGTACGCTAACATTTCTCTTTCGTTATTGTTTTATCCAGAAATATCTTTAGATTAACAAACCTATTATGAAATAAACCTAGACAATAGCAGCAGCATTTTCGTTGAGAAGCTCTTGCTAGCGAGCATTTTCATCTCGTATGGAGGACCAACCCTTGGTTCTCCTCACCACCATCAGGCAGAACCAGCGACCGCCTTACCTTGAGGTACCACACCCTGATCGATGCCATCGATGCGAGTCACCAGCTGATCATACGTAAATGGAACACGAATCTTTGCCTGGGTGCATTCAATCGCTATCTGCGCCTGTAGATGCGATCAGTAGCACTAACAATCAGATGAATCACTGCAGATGCATATACCACTTTGTGCGCGGGAATGGTGACTTGATACTCCGATTGCCTTTTAGACGTCAATGCCTTGTGGTGGTGACGCTCTCCGTCATGGTGGCCACCACAGCCATGCGCGGCCACCACCGCTGCGAGAAGATAGCGCACTCCAAAGATGGACTGGTGAATCCCGGTGAATCGCAGCCTCTTTGACTATGAAATGGGCATCAGGTCATCTCTGTAGTTGTAGCTTTGAGTACATTCTCCCTTCTGGTGTAGTAGCGATTTGTAGAAATCGTGCAGGCCTGATGCTGCTGCTCAGTTTGATCGGGGCAAATCATGATCTTGAGTTTTGTTCATGCGCAGCGAAGGTGCCATTGCTAGCCCAGTGCTGAAGATGGATTCTCCATGGCCAATAGTCCTCCACTTTGCCAACTTATACTGGGATTTTGTATGGAGAGACGATGGTTCACAACTTGAAGGGTTTAGGGTTGAAGCGGTAGTTTTGACAATGAACATCTCTAGCGTTTGGAACGTGTTGCTCGTCCTTGCTTTCAAGAGAGTGGATAGAAAGTTTAGCATTCGCGCTTAGCAATAAGATCGATTTACAACAGCAAGTACGGAGGAAATTGTAAATAAAATTGAAGTGTCAAACCTCATTTTCTTGATTTTCTTTTCAAATTTTTTTTTCCAGAGAAAAAGGTTGTTCTAGTTTCCACAGACAATACGGCTGTGACCAGTAAAACAAAAGCCACTAGGCCTAGTTATATAGAGACGAACCAGCATGATATTTCAAAGTGTTAATCAGGAGATGATGTTAATATTTGTCAACTTTTAGTCTCAAGGTCTTTAATGATACTTCCAGAAGCATGGTTTGATCGTGAAGGAAGCTTCTTGCTTTTGCGAGCGACGCAACCGTCAGATTTTGGAATCGTTGATTCTAATCGTACGACTGTGGCTCGGCGGAGCTGCCTTTTAAGCCGGCATTTTCGGACATGGCGATCGCAGTGGTGGAGAGCGAGCTAGGGTTTTGGAGCGCGACACCGACCAAATGGCGTGGGGGAGCACTCTCTGGAGGCGCGTCAAGGTGTTCCGGGTAGCATTGCAGGTCTTCTTGGATTACAGGGTGCGTATCTCTTGCTTTTCGAGAGCTTGCGAGTGATCCACCGGTCGAAAATTTCCAGGCCGCGCGCAAGAAGGCCGCTGGATTGCCCAAGGAGGATCAGAACCTGCTGTGGGATCGCATCCACCACAGGAATGCCGAGCGCATTTTGGCGGCAATCACCGAATTGGAGGGATTGTGGGTGAAATTTGGGCAGTATCTATCGACTCGAGCGGATGTTCTTCCGGAAGCTTACATCTCCATGTTTCGCCAGCTCCAAGACTCACTACCTCCTCGTCCCATTGCCGAGGCAACTTGCTTTCCTCGTTTTCTTTTTTTTTTTTTCTCTCTCTTTATTGATCCTTCTCTTTCGTCAGGTAACCGCTACTATAGAGAAGCAACTGGGAAAACCGTTGGACGAGCTGTTCTCAGAGTTCGACCGGAAGCCTTTAGCTACTGCCTCAGTCAGTTTCTTTCGCCTTCGATTCTTTTTTCTTGTCTTAGAACTCAAGCAACGTATTGCTTTTTCAACACAGATAGCGCAAGTTCATCGGGCGCGCATGAAGGACGGCCGTGATGTTGTAGTGAAAGTGCAACATCAAGGCATTAAGGAGTGCGTATTACAGGTTCTACATTTTAACACCTTTTAGAGGTATTTGTAGCGTAGAGACTTAATTCTCATGCCAGCCATTGATCGGGAGTCGCTTGTCCAGGACTTGTACAATGCACGAGTGATTGTTGAGTGGGTCGCATGGGCGGAGCCTGATTACGATTTCGGCCCTGTTCTAGACGAATGGTGCAGAGAAGTTCCCCAAGAGTTGAATTTCAACCAGGAAGCGGGTATGGACATTTCCATGCATGCTTTGTTTTTTATTTCCTTCAACTACTTCTACTTTTCTTCTTCTCCAGAAAACACCAAGAAAGTAGCACACAACCTCAAATCATGGACCAAAGACGGTACCATCAGTATCGATCCTGTTGATGTGCTTCTACCTGAAGTCGTTCAGGTTCATGTTAAGCTTCTTGAAAACCAAGCTGCTGTAACTCGAGTTTTGTTGTTGTTAACAGTCAGCCGAGAAAGTCCTGATTCTCACGTACATGGATGGAGTTCGCATAAATGATGTGGCTGGCCTTGATAGACTAGGCGTGGACAAGCAAGCTGCTGTCGAAACTATCACCCGGGCATACGCTCACCAGATATATATCGACGGATTTTTTAATGCCGATCCTCATCCTGGTGAGTGAACTGAAACTGATTCCTAAAATGCTAACATCTTTTCGTGAACAGGGAATTTTCTAATAAGTACTCAACCACCTTTCCGACCAATTTTACTTGACTTCGGGCTCACAAAGTCCATCTCATTGCCTTTTAGGCAGTCACTGGCGAAGATGCTTCTTGCTGCTGCGGAGGTACGTCGAAAACAAAACAATGCGTGCTAACACTGCTTTGTGTAGGGAGATTATTCTGCTTTGTTGTCCGCATTTTCTGAGATGGGGCTTGTTCTGAAGCTGGACATGCCAGAAGAGGCGATGGAAATCACCAACTTTTTTTTCCGTCGTTCTTTGCCGGCTGAGGAATCTGTGGTAAGGTTGTTTTACGTATTTGGACTTTGGGAACATTGAAACTTGACAGGCCGAAATGAAAGAGCTCGTCAAAGATAACGATAAGCGCATCCAACGTTTAAAATCCAGGATGGATAGTAAAGAGACTCTTCGTACTCCAGTAAGTGGTCATGTTTCGAATATTTAAAGACCAATTTCCGTGACGCTTTCAGGTTTCTGCTTTCCCAACTGACTCTGTGTTTTTCATGCGAGTCCTAGGCCTACTAAGAGGTAAAGCTCTTGTGACTTTCAGAAAGAGTGGAGATTCATTAGGATGTTGCAGGACTCTCTTCGGTACTCGGTGCGAGAGTGGTTTATCTTGAGATCATGAAGCCATACGCAGAAGCAGTACTATATAGGTTTGTACTGTTTCTATTTGCTGTAGTTTGACACGAAATTAATTGCAGTGGTGGTCGCTCTAATGGTGGGAACGAACTACCAATTTTTGATAGTCCATTGCATTCTCAGGCTGAGGTCAAGCTCCATCAACTTTTACGTGAGATGCACAAGCAACAACGGATACTTGGTGTTCAAGTAAGTTTTTTCTATACCAGTTTTGTTTAGAACAATGTTTTCCAGGTTTGTGCGTACAAGGATGGGAAAGTTATCGTCGATACAGCGGCTGGTTACCTTGGAAAGTATGATCCTCGCCCGGTGCGTTGTGACAGTTTGTTTCCGGTGTTCTCCGCAACAAAAGGAGTTACGGCGGCCTTGTTACACTGGCTTGCAGATCACGGGTGAGATTTTTGCGGTTATGCCACTAAGGCTGACATACTTTGTTTCCTAGAAAACTATCGCTGGCGGAAAAGATTTCCAGCATCTGGCCCGAGTTTGCGGAGAATCACAAGGACGCTTGCACAGTAATATTAAATCTTAGATTTTCCTTGTGAGTCTCATTTTCTGTATGACAGGTTGCACATGCCTTGAACCATACCTGTGGCCTACAAAATGCGCTGTATGATGTGCTAAGGAAGAATCCTCTGGCTATGTGCGATTGGAGTGAGATGCTAAAGCTCATTGCAGCCGCCAAACCAGAATCACCCCCTGGCCAAGATCAAAAGTACCATGCTCTTTCTTTTGGATGGATATGCGGTGGGATAGCTGAGGTACGACGTTTCTTTGACAGGCCTCGTGCAGTTTTACCTTTCTTTTTCTTTACTTACAGAAAGCCACCGGGAAAACATTCCAACAACTTATCGAAGAAGCGTTTGTTACACCGCTGAAGGTTAATGGCGAGTTTTACGTCGGCATTCCTCCTGGTATAATCCAGACATTCTCTAGTCTATGACATGCGTTATAAAACAAACGTTTCTTACTGGCAGGCGTGGAGGAGCGCCTCGCATCGCTCACTTTGGATCCCGAGGAGCTCAAGAACATACCCGCGGCATCCGCTGCTGCTCTAAGAACGCATCTCTCGACGCTGGAAGTAGGGACGACTAGTGATGGCGTCGGACCGGCGTCACTCGAAGACTTCCTGACAAACGGATCGCCTCTGTCCGTGAGCTCGCTGCCAAGCCTTTTCAACATGCTCTTCATCAGGCGGGCAACCATCCCAGCTGCAAACGGCCACTTCTCGGCCCGGGCACTGGCGCGCTTCTACGCGACGCTTGCAAGTGGTGGACGCGTCCCCCCCGGCACGTCCTCGTCCAAGCCACCTCTCGGCAGCCACGCTCATCGACCGCACCTGGGAGGATCCTCGAGCACAGCCAAGAGGAAAAAGGGATCCCGGATAACAGGAAAAAATTGCTGCAAGACGAGGAGCTTGTCATCGGACTTGAGTGGGGGCCAGATCCACTTCCAGGAAGAGGAAGACGCACCGGCAAAGATCTTCACCAGCGGTGACATCCACGACGCGTTTGTAGGGGGCGGGAAGTACAGCGGCCTGGTTGCTAGAGACAGCGAGAAGTTTGGGCTTGGGTTCTGGAAGCTCAAGACTGGTGATACTAGCGCAGGCGCAGGGAAGAAGATGGCATTTGGACACTCTGGGATTGGGGGCTCGTTTGGCTACTGCGACCCCGACAACGATTTCGCGGTGGCGATCACGGTGAACAAGATGACGCTCGGGCAAGTGTCGGGTGATATCGTACGACTCGTCTGCTCGGAGATCGGGATCCCATGTCCACTGGCGATGGAGAGGCCTTCCCAGTGATAGATGGTCCAGGTATCAAATGGGTCAAATAGTAGAAACCTTAAACGTTGCATGGGAAGTACTTATAAAACGAAAACAAGTCTTGGCCTTACGGTGGTCAATGCTGATCTATCATGAAAACAACTTCCTCGAATGCTTGTCCTCTATAGCCATTCACCACGCCTCTTCAGCCCTTGACTAGAAAACCACCATCGCTCCAATTAATTTGTGGTCAAGAATATTTTTTAAAAATATTTTAACCGGTTATTTGGATTTTGCATGAAAAACAATGTTTGTACTTAACAATTGGTGGTGTAAAAATAATGTGCAATCAGATCATGTTTTTATTTCATATATTTCACATTTTTTTCCAGGCCGCGTAGAACCTCCTTCCAAAACCTGCCATCGTTGCTATACCTACAAAATCAAGTGTCATGCTTCATGTGGGAATGCAGATCAGCTACTCTCCTAAAAGCCATTTCATCTAGTGAAGCTTGCCTATTCTGTTGCTTTAATAACCTAAAAGAATAGTCTTGACCGCACATCTAAGGGTTTCATGGCGGCTTGGCAAGAGCGATGGGGCAGAAGCAGCGTACCGTTTCCATGGGAGGACGTGAATCTAGAGGAGCTACGGAACGCTCTCCCTTGTGTTCTTGCAAAGGTCGAGCTAAGCAACCAGTGGCTGCTTGAAAACTCTGCCATCATTGGTTACTCAGGCTGGCTCATGCAAGAGCTACGGTCGAGGGAAGGATGACGGTTGCGCTGGATCTGGACAACACACTCATCTCCTCCACGTCAATTCTGCTGCACCGGCGGAGCCAGTGTGATTTGGAGGTGAGAGATAATGGCAGTCGCAAGTGCATCAAGAAGCGACCGCATCTCGACGAGTTCCTGGACGCCCTGGCGCTGTTTGCCGAGGCTGTGCTCTTCAGCCCGGCCCCCTACGCAGCTCGATCCTCGCGGGACTTGCTTCCGGTACGTTCTTGGCCTCAGTGATTGCACGCTTGGCACGACACCCGCCTCGGCAAGGAGGCGGTGTTCAAGGATCTGGCCATCCTCGGCAGGGACTTGCGAAAGGTTGTGCTGGTGGACAACGACCCTGGCTTCTTTTGCCAACCTGGGAGTGGCAACGAGATTGTGATTGGGAAGTTCACTGGGTAGAGGAGCGACGACGAGCTTCTCAAGCTACTTCCTGAGTTGCAGTCTCTGGCACAGCTCGACGACGTGAGGCCTGCTGTGCGCACTTATCAGCAGCCTCCAGCACAAGGTAATAATAGTTCACTTGTTCTCGATCTAAAAGCTTCAATGGTGTTGGTTTTCTACGTAGTTGTGAGAGGTCAAGGGCTGAAGAGGACGTGGCGAATGGCTATAGAGGACAAGTATTTGAGGAAGTTGTTTTCATGTTAAGGTTTGGTGAAGTTGACGATTAGAGTTAATTGACCATAACTAAGACTTGTATTCGTTTATAAGTTGACTCAATGCGACGTGGGGTTTTTTATTTGATCCATTTGATGCAGAAGGAAACAAACCCGGAAGCGGGTATATCCAAAAGGTGGCAGCAAGAGACATCATGACCATCGTCGCGTGTGAAGGGCTGGATCGAGTGGACGCGTATCGCATCTGGGATGCTCGGGTGAAGCGAGCAGGCTTCGAAGGGGTGGCACTGACGGAGGAGATTTACGAGAAAGTGAGTGGCTCCAGCACGAGCAGGCACAAAGAAGTTAAAGAAAGAATGTAGCTGGTTATAGGCACAGGGTGGATGACTGGTGTTTGAAGCGCGCTAGCTTCTCAATCGGCTTCCAGACGCTCAAAGCATTCAAAACTACGTCTTTCTCGTCCATTCAGCAAGCCAAATTCTCGCAAACGGACATAACCATCTCGAGCGCTTCCGAGCCAGGCGGTCCCAGGTTTTGCACGAGGAGATGCGCTCCACATATGGCAGACACCTCGATGAACTTATCCATGAAGTCAAGCTGCGACTGGTCGATCAACCCGAGCTTCATCGTCTCCTCGAACGACTCCAGCCTCGCCAGGAAGCTCCTCCAGGCCCTGTCGAAGCGGTGGATGAAAAATGGAGAGCTTATGTCAGCGTGCACCACGGACTGGAACAACATAACAGGCTTGAAGCTGAGGATCTTCTCGAAGAAGAGCTTCCGGGGCTGTCGATGATCCCGTTCTCGCAGACGTGCCGCATCCAAAGGATGATATCTCGGCTGCGCTGACTCCCATGCCACGGTGGCGATGGAGTGCAACTCGAGGTGCATCCCACACGTAGTCGACCAGCCGGTTTTCTCGAGGTTGACACGGGACGGGAAGTTAATGCCGGTGATCTTGAATAGTGGCAGCCCCTCGGCTCTCTCGGACAGCGCCTTGATGAGCGACGGCCACTGATCGCCATAGAGGACCCCATAGTCAATTATGTGGACGCGCTTGGCAGGATCATCTGGTTGGAAGCGCTCCATGGCCCGGAGGCTGGGAAGATTCATCCGGATGGAGATACTCTGCATCCTCGTCACGTCCTGGTGCATCGCAGCGTACATCCGCCGAGCTCCACACCCGGACAGCCTTCTCCACTGGACGCAACTGAGGTGAGGCTAAAGTTCTGATCTCTCTCACGAGCTCATGGACTTGGGTAGAATTGTTGGCAGCCACGGCGGGCGCAGTCCATGAGCCTTAAGCTGTGGAAAGAGACGGTGCGGAGGAAGAGAGGCGGCGTCCACGGACGAGGTACTGCTAGCACAAGAATTTGGGAAGAGACAAGGAGACAATTTCCGTGAGCTCGCAGAGCAGTACCTGGTAAGAGGTTTGCTGTTGTTGTGGCAACTTGAGGAGGAGCTCCAAGCCATCCTTTTCTTCAAGTATTCTGGTGAGATAGTCGAGCCGCGAGCAATCAAAGAGGGACTGCTGCTCCTGGGAAGAGATTTGAGCCTGGACCGAGCGGCTCGCAGTTGTAAGCATGGATTGCTGTCCATTTGTACAGGAGTGGCCTTAGGTCGGTAATTTACACTTAATTTTAATGCAACTTTGAATATAGAATAAATGGTGATCTTTCACTAATGTAAATTAAAATCTTTTAATCAAGATTAGTCTTCGCATCACAGATGACAAGTGTTTTCTTACTATGAGGATTTGTTTATTTCATGAAGATGGCTATAACAATCAATTTGTGATTGTCAATATGAGGCGTGGAATGGGTGGCACCCGGGGTCATGGAAAGCCCTAGAATTAGTCACTGATGCTTTGATCTCCCGGAGCAAAAACTCTGTGGTCTCGCGATGTCATCAAACTCATCGTCATAACGACCATCATCTTTAGCTAGAAGTAGCAGCAGTGGCAAATAGAGCGTAGGCTTGATCTTCTTCACGCACTCAAGGACGCTGAACCAGGCTTTGTCGCTTATCTGTGACGAAGAGGCACACAAGATGAGCATCTCGCTCATCCTCTCTCTCACCAAGCAGCCATTTGCGAATATCTCATAAAAAATCCGAGGTATTCGATTGAAGTCCCTGGCCTGTGGAGCCTTGATGAGCATCATGTAGAAGGCCCGCCTTTGGAAACACGGCCAAGTTCTTGAGCTTGTCACACATGGCCGCGACCTCCACCACCATACCTTTGGTTCATCAAGATCCCGTAAGTCATATGATCTGGCTAATGCTTCTCCTCTTCCATCTCTTGATCAAGCTCTCTGCCCTCTGGATGTTGTCACTCTCTACACACACCTTGGGCAACGTGTTGTAGATGAGCTTCCATTTCTTCCGCTTGATGGTGTTGTAGGGCCTGGTGTACATGTCGATGAGGATGCTAAGAGTTATCTCCGACGGCTCCAAGCCATAGCTTGCCAGCTTGTCAACATCCCTTGGGCGAGCGTGACTTTCCTTGCTCATCCTAGAGTTCCAATCAAAATGTTAAAGAGAACTTGATCTTGCACTTGCTCCATGTCTGGAAGAGCCGCAAGATCACTTGTTAGTCCCCAACTCTCGAGTAGATGTTTGTGATCACACCAAGTTCAAGATGAGGGAATTGCCCACCTGGATCTGGACTCGATGGTCACACCAAGTCGGGCTTCCAGTTCTTCCGCATTATCTGGTAGAGGTCCATGGTCTCTGCCGTTCTCCCAGCCTTCCCGTAGAGGTCGATCATGACACTGTATGTAACTCTGTCAAAAGAAACCCCGGTTTCACAAAGCCGGTGGAACCAGGCCATGGCATTCTTAGCTCAACCGCAACACTTGGAACAGCTAACGAAGATGCTGAAAGTGTAGTTGTCCACTCCCTTATATTAAACCCTTGTTTTTAGTAAAGAACTTTACCACTGTGCTGTAATATATATCCCCATACCAAGTATACATCCCCTCTTGCGGACTTTCCACACTTTGTCTTTTATCTCTGTAGCAAAATAACCTAGTCCACCAAATCTCCTCCTTTTCAATTCTCAATTATATTGTTTAAAGACTTTTTAATCTCAATTAAAAAAATTATTTTGGAAAATGTCAAACATATAGCTCTCTCCAAAACTACCACTATAGAACAAGGTTGTCGGGAATGGCTGTTCGGTGCAATTAGTAGGGACAACAATCTATATGAATAGTGGTGTCTTAATTTGGACGATGACAGCTTATCTAATCCTATGACAGCGTACAACTGATGAATACCTCCTATGCTTAGCCACTCGGAGGGAAATATAAACATCTATTCTACTACATTCAACATAAAGATAACAGTGTAAATTCTTGACCTGTGGCTATTACAAATGGACAGCGATCTATGCTTGCAATTGCGAGCCGCTTTGCTGCGCCATCAAATCCCTCTCGAGCCAGTCCAGGCTCAAATCTCTTCCCAGCAGCATCACTCCCTCTTTGATCGCTCGCGGCTCGACTATCTCACCAGAATTCTGGAAGAAAACGATGAGGAGCTCCTCCTCCAGCTGCCACAACAACAGCAAACCTCTTACCAGGTACTGCTCCGCGAGCTCACGGAATGTCTCTCCCCCAATTCTTGTGCTAGAAGTTCCTTGTCAATGGACACCGCCTCTCCTCCTCATTCTCTCTCGCGCACCTCCACCGTCTCCTTCCACAGCTTGCTCATGGACTGCGCCCGAGCCGTGGCTGCCAACAATTCCACCGAAGTCAATGAGCTCGTGAGAGAGATCATAACTTTAGCCTCACATCAGTCGCGTCCGGTGGAGAAGGCCGCGCTCTACTTCACCAACGCGTTCGTCGCGAGGCTGGCCGGGTGTGGAGCTCGGATGTACGCCGCGATGCGCCAGGACGTGACGAGGATGCAGAGTATCTCCATCCGGATGAATCTTCCCAGCCTCCGGGCCACGGAGCGCTTCGCCAACCAGATGATCCTCGATGCCTGCCGTGGTGCCAAGCGTGTCCATATCGTCGACTATGGGATCCTCTACGGCGACCAGTGGCCGTCTCTCATCAAGGCGCTGTCCGAGAGAGCCGAGGGGCCGCCACTGTTCAAGATCACAGGCATTGACTTCCCGTCCCTTGTCAACCTCGAGAAAACTGGAAACCGGCTGGTCGACTACGCAGAGTCGTGTGGGATGCACCTCGAGTTCCACTCCATCGCCACCGCGGCGTGGGAGTCAGCGCAGCCGAGATACCATCTCTTCAGCGAGCTTCTCTTCGTCAACTGCCAGCTGAGGATGCGGCACATCCGCGAGGACGGGATCATCGACAGCCCCCGGAAGCTCTTCTTCGAGAAGATCCTCAGCTTCAAGCCTGTTATGTTTTCCAGTCCGTGGTGCACGCTGAGATGGGCTCTCCGTTTTCATCCACCGCTTCGACGGGGCCTGGAGGAGCTTTCTGGCGAGGATGGAGTCGTTCGAGGAGACGATGAAGCTTGGGTTGATCGACCAGTCGCAGCTCGACTTCATGGATAAGTTCATCGAGAAGTGCGCCATGGGTGTCATTGCCTGTGACGGGCAGAACCGTGTGGAGCGTATCTCCTCGTACAAAACCTGGGATCGCCTGGCTCGGAAAGGCCAGTTCGGACAGCTTCCAGTCAGCAAACAAGCGCTCGAGATGGTCATGTCCGTTTGGAGCGGACACGAGAACTTCACGTACGGAATGGACGAGAACTGGCTGCTGCTTGGCTGGAAAGACGCAGTCTTGAATGCTTTGAGCGTCTGGGAGCCCATTGAGAAGCTACCGCGCTTCAAACACCAGTGATCCACCCTGTACCTATATTCTTTCTCTAACTTCTTTGTTCCTGATCGTCCTAAACCTTGGCCACAAATAACTGGCAGTTATTTAAGTGCAAACATTGTTTTTGGTGGTGTAAAAATAATGTGATGTTTTTTATTTCATATAATCCCTCCAAAAGCTATACCTACAAAATCAAATGTCATGCATGTGGGAATCCAGATCCTAAAAGCCTTTTTAATCTAAGTGAAGCTTGCCTGCTTTAAAAACCTAAAAGAATAGTCTTGGCACATCTAAGGGTTTCATGGCGGCTTGCGATCAGCGTACCGTTTCCATGGGAGGACCTGAATTAGAGGAGCTACGGAACGCTCTCCCTTGTGTTCTTGCAAAGCTCGAGCTGAGCAACCACGAGCAGCGCCAGTGGCTGCTTGAAAACTCCATTGATTACTCAGGCTGGCTCAGGGAACTGCTAGAATGCAAGACGTGCGGAATGGCACCACTTTGTGCGCGGGAATGGTGACTTGATACTCCGATTGCCTTTTAGACGTCAATGCCTTGTGTGAAGCTCCGGGGGCTTGTGGTGGTGACGCTCTCCGTGCGTGCGAGGCTCACGGTCATGGTGGCCACCACAGCCATGCGCGACCACCACCACTGGGAGAAGATAGCGCACTCCAAAGATGGACTGGTGACTATGAAATGGGCATCAGGTCATCTGTAGTTGTAGCTTTGAATACATTCTCCCTTCTGGTGTACTAGCGATTTGTAGAAATGGCAGGCCTGATGCTGCTGCTCAGTTTGATCGGGGCGAATCATGATCTTGAGTCTTGTTCATGCGCAGCGAAGGTCCCATTGCTAGCCCAGTGCTGAAGATAAATTCTCCATGGCCAATAGTCCTCCACTTTGCCAACTTATACTGGGATTTTGTATGGAGAGACGATGATTCAAGCCAACTTGAAGTTTGTGTTGAAGGGGTAGTTTTGACAATAAACATCTCTAACGTTTGGAACGGTGACAAGCAAGTTTAGAGCTGGATAGAAAGTTCAGCATTCGAGCTTAGCAATAAGATCGATTTACAACAGCAAGTACGGAGGAAATTGTAAATAAAATTGAAGTGTCAACCTCATTTTCTTGATTTTCTTTTCATTTTTTCAAATTTTTTTTTCACAGAAAAAGGTTGTTCTAGTTTCCACAGACTATACGACTGTGACCAGTAAAACAAAAGCCACTAGGCCTAGTTATATAGAGACGATATTTCAAAGTGTTAATCAGGTAACTGGCGGTTATTTAAATTTTGCATGAAAAACAATGTTTGCACTTAACAATTGGTGGTGTAAAAATAATGTGCAATCACATCATGTTTTTATTTCATATATTTCACATTTTTTTCCAGGCTAGTATTTGTCAACTTTTAGAGTCAAGGTCTTTAATGATACTTCCAAGAAGCATGGTTGCTTTTGCGAGCGACGCAACCGTCAGATTTTGGACTCGATTCTAATCGTACGACTGTGGCTCGGAGCTGCCTTTTCAGCCGACATTTTCGGACATGGCGATCGCAGTGGTGGAGAGCGAGCTAGGGTTTTGGAGACCAAATGGCGTGGGGGAGCGCTCTGTGGAGGCGCGTCAAGGTGTTCCGGGTAGCATTGCAGGTCTTCTTGGATTACAGGGTGCGTATCTCTTGCTTTTCGAGAGCTTGCGAGTGATCCACCGGTCGAAAATTTCCAGGCCGCGCGCAAGAAGGCCGCTGGATTGCCCAAGGAGGATCAGAACCTGCTGTGGGATCGCATCCACCACAGGAATGCCGAGCGCATTTTGGCGGCGATCACCGAATTGGAGGGACTGTGGGTGAAATTTGGGCAGTATTTATCCACTCGAGCGGATGTTCTTCCGGAAGCTTACATCTCCATGTTTCGCCAGCTCCAAGACTCACTACCTCCTCGTCCCATTGCCGAGGCAACTTGCTTTCCTCGTGTTTTTTTTTTTTCCTCTCTTTATTGATCCTTCTCTTTCGCCAGGTATCCGCTACTATAGAAAAGCAACTGGGAAAACCATTGGACGAGCTGTTCTCAGAGTTCGACCGGAAGCCTTTAGCTACTGCCTCGGTCAGTTTCTTTCGCCTTCGATTCTTTTTTCTTGTCTTAGAACTCAAGCTAACGTATTGCTTTTTCAACACAGATAGCGCAAGTTCATCGGGCGCGCATGAAGGACGGCCGTGATGTCGTAGTGAAAGTCCAACATCAAGGCATTAAGGAGTGCGTATTACAGGTTCTACATTTTAACACCTTTTAGAGGTATTTGTAGCGTAGAGACTTAATTCTCATGCCAGCCATTGATCGGGAGTCGCTTGTCCAGGACTTGTACAATGCACGAGTGATTGTTGAGTGGGTCGCATGGGCGGAGCCTGATTACGATTTCGGCCCTGTTCTAGACGAATGGTGCAGAGAAGTTCCCCAAGAGTTGAATTTCAACCAGGAAGCGGGTATGGACATTTCCATGCATGCTTTGTTTTTTATTTCCTTCAACTACTTCTACTTTTCTTCTTCTCCAGAAAACACCAAGAAAGTAGCACACAACCTCAAATCATGGACCAAAGACGGTACCATCAGTATCGATCCTGTTGATGTGCTTCTACCTGAAGTCGTTCAGGTTCATGTTAAGCTTCTTGAAATCCAAGCTGCTGTAACTCGAGTTTTGTTGTTTGTTGTTAACAGTCGGCCGAGAAAGTCCTGATTCTCACGTACATGGATGGAGTTCACATAAATGATGTGGCTGGCCTTGATAGACTAGGCGTGGACAAGCAAGCTGCTGTCGAAACTATCACCCGGGCATACGCTCACCAGATATACATCGACGGATTTCTTAATGCCGATCCTCATCCTGGCGAGTGAACTGAAACTAATTCCTAAAATGCTAACATCTTTTCGTGAACAGGGAATTTTCTAATAAGTACTCAACCACCTTTCCGACCAATTTTACTTGACTTCGGGCTCACAAAGTTTATCTCAATGCATTTTAGGCAGTCACTGGCGAAGATGCTTCTTTCTGCTGCCGATGTACGTCGAAAACAAAACAATGCGTGCTAATACTGCTTTGTGTAGGGAGATTATTCTGCTTTGTTGTCCGCATTTTCTGAGATGGGGCTTGTTCTGAAGCTGGACATGCCAGAAGAGGCGATCGAAATCACCAACTTTTTTTTCCGTCGTTCTTTGCCGGCTGAGGAATCTGTGGTAAGGTTGTTTTACGTATTTGGACTTTGAGAACATTGAAACTTGACAGGCCGAAATGAAAGAGCTCGTCAAAGATAACGATAAGCGCATCCAACGTTTAAAATCCAGGATGGACAGTAAAGAGACTCTTCGTACTCCAGTAAGTGGTCATGTTTCGAATATTTAAAGACCAATTTCCGTGACGCTTTCAGGTTTCTGCTTTCCCAACTGACGCTGTGTTTTTCATGCGAGTCCTAGGCCTACTAAGAGGTAAAGCTCTTGTGACTTTCAGAAAGAGTGGAGAGTCATTAGGATGTTGCAGGACTCTCTTCGGTACTCGGTGCGAGAGTGGTTTATCTTGAGATCATGAAGCCATACGCAGAAGCAGTACTATATAGGTTTGTACTGTTTCTATTTGCTGTAGTTTGACACGAAATTAATTGCAGTGGCGGTCGCTCTAATGGTGGGAACGAACTACCAATTTTTGATAGTCCATTGCATTCTCAGGCTGAGGTCAAGCTCCATCAACTTTTACGTGAGATGCACAAGCAACAACGGATACTTGGTGTTCAAGTAAGTTTTTTCTATACCAGTTTTAGTTTAGAACAATGTTTTCCAGGTTTGTGCGTACAAGGATGGAAAAGTTATCGTCGATACAGCGGCTGGTTACCTTGGAAAGTATGATCCTCGCCCGGTGCGTTGTGACAGTTTGTTTCTGGTGTTCTCCGCCACAAAAGGAGTTACGGCGGCCTTGTTACACTGGCTTGCAGATCACGGGTGAGATTTTTGCGGTTATGCCACTAAAGCTGACATCATTTGTACTTCGTTTCCTAGAAAACTATCGCTGGCGGAAAAGATTTCCAGCATCTGGCCCGAGTTTGCGGAGAATCACAAGGACGCTTGCACAGTAATATTAAATCTTAGATTTTCCTTGTGAGTCTCATTTTCTGTATGACAGGTTGCACATGCCTTGAACCATACCTGTGGCCTACAAAATGCGCTGTATGATGTGCTAAGCAAGAATCCTCTGGCTATGTGCGATTGGAGTGAGATGCTAAAGCTCATTGCAGCCGCCAAACCAGAATCACCCCCTGGCCAAGATCAAATGTACCATGGTCGTTCTTTTGGATGGATATGCGGTGGGATAGCTGAGGTACGACGTTTCTTTGACAGGCCTCGTGCAGTTTTACATTTCTGTTTCTTTACTTGCAGAAAGCAACCGGGAAAACATTCCAACAACTTATCGAAGAAGCGTTTGTTACACCGCTGAAGGTTACTGGCGAGTTTTACGTCGGCATTCCTCCTGGTATAATCCAGACATTCTCTAGTCTATGACATGCGTTATAAAACAAACGTTTCTTACTGGCAGGCGTGGAGGAGCGCCTCGCATCGCTCACTATGGATCCCGAGGAGCTCAAGAACATACCCGCGGCATCGCATCTCTCGACGCTGCAAGTAGGGTCGACTAGCGATGGCGTCGGACCGGCGTCACTCGAAGACTTCCTGACAAACGGATCGCCTCTGTCCTTGAGCTCGCTGCCAAGCCTTTTCAACATGCTCTTCATCAGGCGGGCAACCATCCCATCTGCAAACGGCCACTTCTCGGCCCGGGCACTGGCGCGCTTCTACGCGATGCTTGCAAGTGGTGGACGCGTCCCCCCCGGCACGTCCTCGTCCAAGCCACCTCTCGGCAGCCACGCTCATCGACCGCACCTGGGAGGATCCTCGAGGAGCTTGTCATCAGACTTGAGTGGGGGCCAGATCCACTTCCAGGAAGAGGAAGACGCACCGGCAAAGATCTTCACCAGTGGTGACATCCACGACGCGTTTGTAGGGGGCGGGAGGTACAGCGGCCTGGTTGCTAGAGA